ATTAAATGATTTAGTTTTATTATAGTTTTAAAACATGTTTTTATCAAAATCAAAATCATTATTATTTATTATGAAATTAGCATGATATGCAATAATATGTATTGGCATGCAATGGAGCTTGGAATCATGCTTAATGATATATCTAATGTGTTACAAAAAATCTAAAATACCTAATCACTTGTATCTTCACACTCCATCTTCAATTTGAGACTTCTTATAAATCCTTTGTCATCATCAAAATATATATTCCATATTCCATAATGCATAGGAGGTCTTCATATTTATCTTGATTCATTTAAGGAAAAACTTCATTTTCACCTATTGTGATTTTGTGATTTATCATTTGATTCCTGTGGTTTTAAACTTATCAATTAGATTCACTGTGCTGAGATATTTTGCCATTCAACCCCATATGGTTTTAAATTTTCACTTAGACCCTTTCTGGTTACAAAAAATTTCACTTAGACACCTTGTGGTTTAAAAATAAATATTTAAAAAAATAAATTTTTAAAATAAATTTTCTCTCTTTTTTATTTTATATCCTTATGTAATCAATGCATTTATGGTTTAAAAATATTTCATGTTATTTATTCTGAAATTAATTTATAAATTATCTTAATTTTTTAAAATATATTTGAAATTAAAAAAATATTATTTAAGAAAAATTAAATATGTATTATCAAAATAAGATATTTACTTTCTTTAGATAATTTTATAGCGATATCGGGTAAAAAATAGATGAAATAAAATAATATTTGATTTGAATTTATTTTCTTGATAAAAATAAGTGATTTTTTTTTTTAAAAAAAACTATTTTTTAACCCTAAATGCATTAGGTGAGAATATAAAATAAAAAAGAGAATATTTATTTTAAATTTTTTTTTTTAATTTTTTAATTTTCGTAACCACAAGGAATTTAAGTGAAAATTTTTCTAACCACAAGGTATCTAAGTGAAAGTTTGAAACCACGAGCGGTTAAATGATAAATTTTTTAAGCACAATGGGTCTAAGTGATAAATTTAAAACCACAAGGGGTCAAATGATAAATCACAAAATCACAGTGGGTGAAAATGAAGTTTTTCCTTTATTTAATGTGGACTACATCCAATAATATTTTATTATATTCTTCTCACCACACTCCTTACTAAGCTTTCGATTACAAGAGAAATATAAATAGATTTAGAAACACTAAGTAACAATAGTTATCTATGAGCTTAAGCGCAAATCACTGAAAAAATAAAATAAACCTAAGACTCATAATAGCACCAGCCCTCAGCAATCCTCAATTAACTTTTTCTCACGAGATAAGAGAAAAATCCAACGACATTACCAACTAATAAAGAGTATGTCAGAGAAAATATTCAAATAATAATTTTAGGATTTTTTTTTTGTTTTCAACGTAGTTAAGTTATTTACATTAGACTCAAAACGACGTCATTTTTCGGCAAAAATTATGATATTTTTGTAATTATAATTTATTTCAAAGTTACAATAATTTTTTTTATTATAATTTTTTAATTTTTCAACCCAAAACGATGTTATTTTGAAAGTGAACGTAGATAACTTATCTACATTCATTATAAAAAAAATTAAAACCATAATTTTATTATCAAAACTTGCAATATCCACTAGTTAAATGACAAAGAATAATAATGGAGTGAAATGATAATTTAGTCAAAAGTAAATATATTTCTAAAAAAGATCAAAAAAGAGAGAGAAAGAAACATGGTGGGAAATTCAAAAAAGAAAAATACAATAACATATGCCACCGTGGGTAAAGAGAACATGACACGATAATAACTAACAATAATAGTTCCTGTATTATATTCCCTTGGAAAAGGGTGTATTGCCCTTTTCTAAAAAGCATGCTTTCCACAAAGATAAAAGTTAAAGATTAGACCCCGTATTGGAATTTTTTTTTTCTTTTCAAATGTTACATTTTTTAAATAAAAAATTCTTTTCATTTTATATGTGTTTGTTTTTTTAAAACAAAAGTAGTAAAAAAAAATCATAAACTTATTTTTTTCAAATCTAATTTTTTTTTGCTTCTGATATTCTAAAAAACAAAAGTTATAAGGGAAATGTTTTTTTTTTTAAAATTTTCCTTAATTCTAACAAATCTCATCTCACTTAATATTATCACGAACACTTCTTCCATTATAATTGTTATTGTTACCATCACCATTACCACCGTACATTGCTATCACTGTCATCACTATCATCGTCACTATCACCCCGCCACCACCTATATCACCGTTGTCGTCGCTACCATCATCTTATCTCCTTCACCCTGCTATCGTAGCCACTACCACCACATCTGACACTACTAAATTTGCTCTCATAAATTATTTTCACATATCTTTTTCAATAATTGTATACATAAAAAATATTTTTAAATTTTAACATTTAAATAATATATGTATTTAACAATATTTTTCGCATACTATATGTAAATGCAAAATAACTTTATCTTTAAAAAAAAATCCTTATAAAAAAATAATGTTTTTTCTTTTTTAAAAGCTCATTCAATCCGGACCTTACTAAGCTGAATTTGAAATTTGACATATTATCATTCAATTGAAAGGGTTCGACTAAATCTTCGTAGTTCCTTTAGTTCATGATGTGTAGGACTTTCTTTTGAATTGGATGCAAGGACACCAATCATAATTCTTGCTTAATGAAGCAAACCTCTTTCTTTTAATTTTTAAAGCAAAAGGAGGAAAGCTAGCTGAAGATCATAGAAGCCAATGAACAAGCTGAATATATCTCCTGTAAATTTGTGTAGTCATATGGATCATGAAAGCCAATATAAACCTTTTGCCAAATGCGAACACAAATACATCAATCCAACTTATGTATCAAGCATGAAGTCGTGGGAAAATGTCCTTTTTAGAACTATTCATGTTGCTTTTGTTCATTCGTCGATCTTCATTGATTGAAAATCATAGGGTCTTTGAAATCAGCAATACGTCATTTCATATGCTGTACTTAATTAGAATTTAGCAGCTCCATTTTATTTAATTTTCTTTAGGCTTTGGTGGTGGGATGTTTGTGTATCATAAAAGACGAGGAAGGCAAAGAAGAAAGCACAAATGATTGCAAGACGCCAAGTTCCCTAGCTATTATGATTGTTCTTCGCATTGCAAATGAAAGCCTTCTTTTTCTCGGATAACAAAGGCTTATAATTTTGTCCCCTACAGCCACCACACGCTTCATCATAGCTGCTGAGTGCTGAGTGGTTAGCTACGGCATCCAAAAGTTCTACTCATTTTATTAGAATACATAAAAATTATTTATTAATATTTTTTTTTGCAATACATTTATTAATATTAGAATGCTTTGCTTCAAATCGATATCAATGAATCATAAATGTACATAAAGAGAAATAAATGTCAACCTTTACACATTTATATCACTCGGTTATTTTGCATAAAAAAGTTTTAATTAATCAAATCACAATTTTATAATAAATTATTCTATAAATCATGGCAATTAAATTTTAAAATTTTGTAAGCCACTAGGATTGGTATGAGTAGTTTGTATATATGAGGTTATAGATTCGAACTTAAATGCCACTATTATATTTAAAAACAAGGTAGTTTGTTATATATATATATATATATATATATATATATATATATATATATATATATATAAATCATAATTTGGTTAAAAAATATAAGAAAATTTCACACAGTGCTTTAAAGTTTAAACTTACGTGTGCACAATATCTATACCTTATAAAGTTGAGCTTTAATCTTTTTAATTCGAAGCCGATTAACAATGCAATGGTAACTATTTTTTTTAGTTAAAAGTTTAGGTAGAGTTATATACCGATATTTCACCGGGCCAGATACTCCCAATTTTTTTTGAATATTTCTGAGAAGGTTTATAGATGTCTCACAAAAAAATTCTCATATCAACCTGCGAGATTCAAATTCACATCTTTATAAAATATGGAACTAGTCCTTAACCAAATGTGACTTTACAGCAAGGCGAGAAACAATGAAGAGGAATCAGAAGATTCCCCTTTGCCTAGGAACTAGAAAGCGACGGGACCACTGCTCAGTAATATAGCCCAATTATTTTTATAGTTATACTACGTTCTAGTTTTCCCCGCAAAACAATAGGAAAAAAAAATAAAATTGCAGAAGAATACATATATCAGCGTTATCAGCATTCGTGGCTAGTTCAGCCAATCATTCGCGGGGCGCAAGGTCAATAATACATACGCAATAACACACACACACACATCACTAATTAATTATGATTATGGTATGGACAACTTTTCCCATTTAGAAGAGAAGATGCCGAAATTCGATGCACGTAAATTATAATTATTGTCATTCAATCTTATTAATTATGAAGAATTATGACATAATTACGAGCATAAATTAAAACTTTCAATTCTACCATCCATGCGTATCTGCTTGATAAAAAAACAATGACGACCACATCTTTTCTGCATTTAATTTCATGATACATTAATGTTCCATTTTTATTCACCCGATACTCATAGTATTATATCTGTAGGTGTATACGTCGCCATAATTTTATATATATAAATCCTTGATTCGCCTTACTTTAATAATCCAATTTATGTTGGTATCAAGAGGAAACCAAATCAGTCCTATTTCTTTTTGGCAATGAATGAGCGAATATATGAAATTATGAACCATTACAAGCACATGATATAAATAATAAAAGTAAAAGTTTCCTAATATTTGTAGGCAGTGAGTGACCGACCAAGGTGGGAGAGTGGGGCCCGTAGTGGGGAAGTTATATATGTATATGCTTTTAGATTTGATTGGAAGTGAGGAGAATCCAAACCTGACAACATATTTGTTCAGAGTTTACCTTTCCTGTCACACTTGACATGTTTGATCTTGTTAAGTAAATATTCGTGTACTGGCTTCAATTCACCAATTTATGTTCTGATATATATAGGCTATAGTTGAACAACATCATCACGTTCGTGTATTAGTTAGTGGCAAATAGTAATGGCAATGGCAATGCCTCTTACTCTAAGGCATAAGCTCAAGACTCTTTGTACTTGTGGGGATGGCTGGTCTTACGCCATTTTCTGGCGCTTCAATCCACAAAATTCCTTGTAAGCTTCCTTTTCCATTCTCTTCTATTATTTCAATTATGCTTCTATCTTTGTGTTTTTTTTTTTTTTTTTTCTCCCTTGGTAGTGGCTACTGGGAAGTAGAAACGTTTCTTCTTCCATCGAAAAAATACTGAAAACATTGAGTTGTTGAACTGTCATATTTCAGTTATACTTGTTCTATAGTAGTAAGGAATGCTTTAACATTTCACTGTCATTTGACCTTTCTCACCGTAGATTGCATGTTTGAAATTCTCGTAGGATGTTGAGTGTGGAAGAAGCATACTATGAAGAGCAATTGGGAGAAGAGATTACCAACATGCTTCCACAGGTCCACTTGTTGGGCGAAGGGTACGTTTCTATAACCTCTTAATTTTAACCCAAGTGTGGCTGTTAAACTTTGCAAATTTCATCTTCATCCAAGAGATTCATTTTAAGTAACTAAGTGCAAAATCAAAATGCATATACAGTATACGTATCAATGAAACACAAAAGGCTGATACAGTTGCCATGTCCTCTGTAGAATTATTAGTGAAGCTGCTTTCACGGGCAAGCACAGTTGGGTGCACTCAGATGGTCAAACCCAAGAATGGAATTTGACTGGGAAGAATATTTATGAGGTATTGTTTTCAACTGTTGAGTTGGTACCATAAATTTCAAGTTTCAAGCACACTTGTTTTTTTGTGCACATATTGAAAATTCCCTTTTCTTTCTGCAGGATGATTCTGGATTGCATCAACAATTATCCTATGGGATAAAGGTAATACAAATCTTCAAGAAGGAAAGTGTATTCGAAAATTGAAGTTCCAACCTTCGTGTATTTTCAGATTCCTTCCCTTCAAACATTTCTGTACCAATGCTCAAATATAATTATTTTGGTTAAAGTTACCAAGATCACGAGTAATAAATGTCTCAGTACTAATTAAATGAAGTATGCTTATCTGATTATCCTTCTTCTGTAAAGCCGTGAGCAATGTATATTGATGAACAGTTCTGAATTGTAGACAATGGTGATCATACCTGTCAAAGATTTGGGAGTTGTACAGTTTGGATCGAAAAAGAAGGTTAGTATCGTGAAAGAAAATGAATTTATGACATCATGCATAAATAGATTAGTGTGGACAAGTTTTATCATGATATGATGAGATCATGCACATGGCGTCCTGATTTGTGTACTAACTTTGAATTGATAGATAAGGTATTTACCATAGAGGTTTAAATATGATGATTTTTACTAGATCAAATTTATTATTGGTCCTCAATGTTTATCTACACAGATGCATATCTGAGTGCTAATGTATCATAATACTTTCATTGCTACAGATTTTGGAGAGAATGGAGTTTTTGGATCAAACACTAAGCTTACTCATGGAGACAGATAATATGGGTATGCTTGACGTGTCAGGAAATGCAGTTTCATCTCTGGATTGTGAAAATTATGACCTAAATGGGTTGTTGGCTTCCGTTTCTTCTGAAAATTCATATGATTGGAATCTCAACTATGCTCATAATGAAAACTCTGAAGAGCTATTGAGAAAGGTTTATTCTTCTGTAAATCCAAACGATCCCTTCCCATCCCAATATAAGATTTACGAAGAAGGAATGACTTCATTGGGAGTAGATTCTTCCTGTCTTGGTGACCAATTGAATGGCACCACAGAAGCTCAAGTTGTATTATCAGATTGGGATAGTACAGATGTGCTTTTGAAGCCTAACTCTTCTATGGACAGCTTAATTCCCCAAAACTCCAGTTTTGGTGCATGGAATGATGAAGCATCTTCTTTTGATTTGTTGGGGGAACAATTGTTATCTGAAATAAGGACACAAGAAGCTTCAGATATGTGTTCTACAGAAGAAAATGCGTTTGCTAGTAGCACTAGCAAACTTCTAGTTCAGGATTCAGTATTGACCTCATTGGACAAAATGAACAGAGGGTCATTTCAAGACAAGTTACGAAATTCATTAGATAACCAACCTCAATCCATGGATGATGTTTGCCAGTGGTTTGCTGCTTCTCCAGAAGATAGCATCTGCAGAACAGTAAATACATTGGACAACAACAACCATGACTTTGAAAATAGTCTCTTGGATGGCATGGAACTTGATTTCAACTGTGATCAAGATGATAAATGGTGGGAGAATATACTTACACCAGGGGTGAACGCTGCTATTGATACTGGCTTTTCTAAATGCATATCAGAGTTGAATATTGGTTCACACTCTAGCACCCAACAGCGATTGTTCTCACAGTTAGGAAATGAACAGCTTTTGAGTGGTGAAGCAAATTACAATACTTCTAACAGTTTTGGTTTTGAGAATGAGTTATTATCACCCAATAAGAGGCAGATGTTAGAATTTCCACCAGTGAATGCAAGCCCATTACACTTTGCAAACCTTGCTGGGGCTGAGGCTAGAGCAAACTTGATGCAGCCCGTTTCTGACTTGTACAAGACAAACAATTCTTTAAGCAAGAAAGATACATTCCCAAAATCAGAAGTAGGCATGCGGATTGATGATAGCCATAGCATTAATATTGGGAAGGCTGTTCCAGGACACTTTGAAAAGCCCAAGGAACCCACAAAGGCCAACAAGAGGAGGGCTAAGCCCGGGAAGAGTACTCGACCACGACCCAAAGATCGCCAACAGATCCAAGACTGCATTAAAGAGTTGAGAAAAATCATCCCCAATGGTGAAAAGGTAATATTTCCTCTATATGTGATGCAAAATTTTCAATTTCATAAATTTTTTCCCCCTATTCAACCTTTGTGATTTGTGACATTATTTATTCATAAGAATGCTTTGATAGTAATATGTTGACAAATGTTTTTCTGATTTAACAGTGTAGCATTGATTCTTTGTTAGACCGAACCACCGCATACATGCATTTCTTACAAAATATGACCAAGTATGCAGACAGGATGCAGGAACCGAATGAGCCAAAGGTAACCAATCAAACTATTTTTCAACAAATTTAAAAGAAAAAAAATTGATCAGTTAGTATCTGATATGATTGGATTTGCTTGGATATTTAGCTTATTGACCAGCCAAATGGAGTGGTTCGAAGAGAAAGTAGTGCGGGAGATAGCAAAAACTGTGGTGTTACATGTGCATTTGAAGTAGCATCCGAAACAATGATATGTCCAATTATAGTTGAGGATATGAGCCCACCTGGCCAAATGCTTATAGAGGTAAGATTAATTAGTAATTAGAATGTATGTTTTAAGTATCATCTTCTATCCTTTTTTGATTATCTATGCCACAGTGAATTCATTTGCATTGCTTTGTTGCAGATGCTTTGTGAGGAGCAGGGTTTCTTCCTTGAGTTAGTTGACAAAATTCGGGATGATTTTGGGTTGAACATCTTGAAAGCAAAGATGGAAATTAGGAAGAACAAACTATGGGCACGCTTTATTGTTGAGGTAAATCAAATATTTGAATGCAATATTAAAAATTCAACATTTAATGGTGGCATATGTGATTGCAATTTTCTATTCATCTTTTAACTTCTGTCAAAATTCTGGTTTGCATTTTGTGACAGCCACAGGCAAATAGATACGTGACAAGGATACATGTATTTTGGTCCCTCACCCTTCTTCTCCAGCAAACAAACACCTCTGGAATGGATTCTGCTAATAAGCATTGCAATGTTATGGATGCCAATATTTCTTAAGTGGACAATTGCAAGAAAATAGTGATGCCACTAATCATTGCCATGACAGAGGCACTTGAGTGATTAATATTTCAGAAATACCTTGAGCACGTAAGGTTCTCGAAGTGTAATGATATATCAAAATTTAGAAATGTATCCTAGTTTGGAAATCTTTTTCTGATTAAATGTGTGTTGTGTTAATTGAATTACCATTTTGGGAGCAATTCTACTACTCATTTCCATTGGACTTCTTTAAGCATGATTAGTTATTTATTTTGCAGATAATTATAAAAAGAAGAAAAGAAAAGAAAGAAAAAGGCTTTGTTGAATTAGCCCAACAACAAAGAAGGAGAGGGGGAAAAGAAGGCAGAAGCAAAAGCAAAACATAGAAAAAGACAAAAATTCAAAAAGCAACTTTTTTCTTGCAACAAATGACCGCCCCAACAAAGAGAAAATATTGGATAAGAGAAAGTGGAGGAAAACACACACTTAGAAGGGGCAAAAAGAAAAAAAGAGAATGAGAAAAAAAAAAAAATGAAATCAAGGCCATTGATCTTACGAGAGAAATTGCAAGGTAGTACTCTAACGAGGAAAATTTTGTACGAGAGACTAAAACTAAGCAAATCTGAGTAAAATTTTAATATTATTTCAAAGTGCTTGGTAAGCTCATTTATTATGGAACTGGAAAAAAGTATGCTTAACTTGTTTTCTTTATCTTAATTCATTTCGTAGTAATCCGTGTTAATTTCAATTTATTTAAAGTATCTGTTGAATATCAATAAAACTCAAAATCATTTACCATTCTGCAATTTAAAGTTTAATACACTTGTCTAAATCTTCGCTTAAGGTTCTGATAAATTTCGCTCCATTACTCTGTTCATAATTCGGTTTTACAATTTTTCTTAAGCAAAAACGATAATTTGAAAAAAGAGGATTACCATCCCATTTACGCAGGTCCTAGAAACAGGATCCGTGTGTAATTAGATGATAATTTAGGATACACTTAGCAAAAACTGTAGATGATTTTCGTGTCCAAGTGAACTAAGGAAGAGGCTGTGTGAGTAATGAAATCTGAGGTGCAAAACCATTTATAATGAAATTGCGTACATGAGTGGTTCTTTGTTATTTTGTTGACTGTGACACAGTTGCAGCTTCTTCTCTAGAGTTAACTAGGGAAATTCAAGGTTTATCATGTCAACTGATGTTTCTATGCACCAAAACTTGGAGTGATCAATAATGAGCACCCACGTAGGCAGGCATATTTGGAGATGCTATTACATCTTCAAGGACTTATTGTTAGATTCCTATGTGTCCATGAAATTTAGATGACAAATAAAATAATTGGAATGGTATATCTCAATTGATCTCAAGTGCCAAATATAATCTAATTCATCAGCATGCACCAAGTAGATTTCCTGTTATAGTAGCAATTATTAGGTTGTAGCATGGTTGATTTGCAATTCCTTTATCAAAAATTAAAAACTGTATGACATGATGAGATGATGGCTCATCCGCATAATTCCGGACACATGCTTTGTACGAATAGTTAACTAAAGCAGGATGCATAAAGTTATGTTGCTGCAACCGACAATTTTAAACCTTGGTTAATACTAAATTAGGACCGGAAGAAAACGGTGACCCAAAACAACTTTTGATAGTTGGATAGGCTTTTCAAAAAGAGTGCACTAGAACGGAGTAGGAGCTAGATAAGTGATCTATAATATGTCATTCCAAAATGTTATCAGAAGAGACCAATTTTGAGAGTCCCCATTTTAAATTCAACAACTCTCATTTATCTAAAAATGTTAAAGCTTTTAAAATTGAAGGTCCTACTCATGACCTAATTCATTGATTTAATGTATATGGATCTTATTCCTATTTCCTAACTTTCTTATCCACAATAGACAGCAGAGCGAGGCATCTAATCAACGAGCCACTAAGAATCAGGCGATGGCTGTGTGCGGTACAACACGCTAGCAATGCTAGATATGGTGGCCCAAGTCACTATGCTGCTATGAGATTCTACAAGTTGCTGCCCCAAATTCTGGTTTTAGGTCAAGACTAAAGAAAAAACGTAATGAATTAGCATTTAATATATGCAAGTGCCTCATGACTTGCACATTTATTTAATCCACAAGTTGATGCGTTTTTAATTCATCCCGAAAATTCAATGCATGCTTTTTCCAGTAATTAAAATTTAAAAGGGTAAACATAAAACAAGAATAAGAGTAGCCATCTCGAGATTTTTGTATCACTCTCTAGTTGCAATCTTATATTAAAATAACAAACATATACAGATGATTCTATATTTTGTTGCCTATTTGATTTATAGCAAAAAAGAGAAAATAAATAAATGAATACACAAATTAGTTAGTACAAGAAATACCTTGTGTGCTTTTAGTTCGTTAAAGTTTGGTTATATATAAAACAGTCCTTGAATTTTCGTAAGTATAAAAGTTTGGTTATGTATAAAAGTTTGGCTATATAGTTAAGTTAAACTTGCAAAATCAGTTGATTTTTCAAAAACTTAATGGCGAATCTAATTAATTTTTAGGAACTGAAAGCGTACAAGGTATATTTTTCAAGGACTGAATTGTGTATTTATTAAGAATTGTTTGAATGTTTCTGGCGGTATCAATGATTCAATATTAATGTGTTAGCTATTTTTGTTTGTGTGTGCTAGTATTTTTGTGCTTCTGCTTTTCTATGCGTGCATGTGCATATTAGTAAATACATGAAAAAGATGTAAGCCTTTATATATGTCCAACAATTTGAATGGTGAACCTTTACCTACTCTAAAAGATAGCAAAACTTAGTGTTAGTGGCGTTGTATGCTCTTGCATCAGCTTTGCCTAAGAATAGGGTTTACCGACTTATAAAAGTTAGCACCATAGAATCTTTGGTACATTGGAAATAAAAATAGAAATGTTTTGTCCTGAATAACATTTAATATCCTCATGTTGAGACATGCCATATCGCACATCACCTAGATCTGTATAAATACAAGGATAGTAATCTAGTTCGGCTAAAGCTTCTTGTTGCATATATATGGGACTTAATTAGGGTCTTTGCCATACTAATCTTGTTCTAACAATATTTTCCAATAGAGCTTGCTGATTTCATATTCACATAGACATAAATATATAGATACAGCTTTATTAGTCAAGAAGATGGCTAATGACAAGGAAGTGGTAAAAGAAGTAGAATGGAGAATCAATGTAGGAGATAGTTCATTGGAGAGAGCAAGGTTTGCTTGCATGTGGGTAGTTATAGAAGGGATGGCTTTCAAGTTGTGTAAGTTTGTGAAGAAAGCATGGGAATTGGGACTGAATGACCCAAGAAAATTCATCCATTGCTTGAAGGTGGGGATAGCACTTTCAGCTGTTTCTTTCTTCTACTACTTGAAGCCTTTGTATGATGGAGTTGGAGGAAATGCTATGTGGGCAATCATGACAGTGATTGTAGTGTTTGAGTACACAGCTGGTATGTAGTGCTAGCTAGCTAGCCTCTTAATTAATTATAACACTTAACTGTAACATCCCTTAATGAAACTCATGCTATATCAAATTGCAGGTGCTACGATAAGTAGAACTATAAACAGATTATGTGGAAATTCCATTGCCGGGTTTCTAGCTATTGGGGTACACTGGATAGCTACTAGAGCAGGAGGGGAATTGGAACCCATAATTTCTGGAGTCTCACTCTTTCTGTTAGGTATAAATATAGTAAAAGAAAACAAATTTTAATGTACCTATACAAATATAGAGTGGTTTTTTTTTCTTTATGTGTGCATAGTCACTAATTAGTTGAATTGATCTGTCTTCAGCTTCTGCAGCAACATTCTTTAGATTCATCCCCACCATGAAGGCTCGTTTTGATTATGGTGCTTTGGCATTCATCCTCACTTTCAGCATGGTTTCAATATCCGGATATCGGGTTGATGAATTGTTGGTTATGGCACAATACAGGATATGCACAGTTATAATTGGCGGTTCATTGTGCATTATCGTAAGCTTGATCATTCAACCTATCTGGGCTGGTATGGAGCTCTATGTTTTAATCACTGGGAACCTTGACAAATTGGCCAACTCCTTACAATGTGAGTCTTCATTATTGATTATTTGCTTGCATATTCGCCAGCTATAGCTAGCTGAAATTATATCAAATAATTTTACACGTATGTTGTATTTCAGGTTGTGTGGCTCAGTACTTCAGTTATGATGAAGCCCCAGAAGCAGGAAGTGATGAGGAGTTTAACAAAAAGTTGCTAGGCTACAAGTGTGTGCTAAGTTCCAAAGCAACAGAAGAAGTTATGGTATACACTACCTACCGAGAGATTCTAGTTACATATAATTCTAAATAAGTGGGTGACATAAGAGATGGAAAAAAAAAAAAAAAAATCAACGGGTGAATTATATGTGCTCATGGTGCAAATCTTGACGAATAAAATAAAATCAATACAAACTTTAAATTACCCTTATATTTTTAGAATGTGACTAATATAATATTGTTACTGTAGGCTAATTTAGCTAGATGGGAGCCTCCCCATGGCCGCTTCAATTTCCGTCACCCATGGAAGCAATATCTTAAAATTGGGGCATCCATGCGTTGTTGTGCTTCCTGCATAGATGCTCTTATTGGATGCATAAATTCAAAAAACAAGGTATACCTTAAATAACCGAATTCCAAATCAAATATGCTCTATTATTGATGATGTAACAGAGTTAAAATAACTTAGATTCCATGTTAGCACAAATCTTGATACTAAAAGTAAGACACTAACTTGAACTACATCCAATCAATTTGCGCAGGCCTCTGATGACATGAAGAAGAATATGAGCAGCATATCCATAAAAGTGGGTGCCAGCACTGCGAGTATCATAAGAGAGCTAGCAATTACAATCAGGAATATGAAAAAATCATCTAAAGTTGATACTCTGGTTGCGGAGATGAATAGTGCTGCCAAAGAGCTCCGGAACTTAATAAAATCTTATCCAAACTTGGTTAACCAACAGTCACATAATGCTCAAGATACACCAACCGAAGCAGCATCACCTTGTGAAGTGGCTGCAAAAACCGAAGTCCCACTAATGGAAATTATTCAAGTGGTGACTGTAGCTTCTTTGCTTATTGAAATTGTAGCCCGTGTGGAAGGCATTGTGAAAGCTGTTGAAGAACTATCAAATTTAGCTAAATTCCAACCGGCAATGTGTGCCACATCCAAAGAGCAAAATGATGAGGAAGCAATGAAGACGCTCCAAATGGTCTAAAGATATCTGAATGATATAATGAGATCAATACTGTGTATATTCTTTGATCCACCACAGATTACAAGTTATATATATATATCTAAGATCAGTTTTTCCTTTTAGAGTGATTTTCAATGTTACATTTATTTTTGAACACTCTTACTATTCAATTTGAGAATTTAACAAAATAAAAATACTCCATTATCCATAACTTTATCTAAAATTTTCATATTACCTTTTAAAATCACAAAATCTTAATAACGTTACTATTTCTAAAATATATTGAAATGTAACACATTAATTTTTTTATTATAATACTTAATTACTAATTCAGCTGTTCAACCAGTACCTGCCCGAGTTTAATATTATTGATAACATACAAATACAATATGGGCGAGTGCATATGGTTTAAGAATAACAAATAAATTGGAGTGCACTCAGAAGATTTTGATTCAGAATGAGAGGGAAGGAAATTATATTGTAAGATTCATAATTTTATCAAAATAACGCATGCACCCGAGCTGATTGATTTAGATTGGGCTTTTTTATAATTTATTCCATAGTTTAGAGCTTTTCAATAATTGTTAATTATTTCTCTTTTTGTTATTTTTAGATTATATTTGAGTGTGCGTTGATTGTGCGTTATCTCCTTTGATTGCGCATGCTTATAGTTCTTTATTTTTTTGTTATTTTTATTTTGCCTATTTAAGAAAGAAGAAAGATACAATGATCGCGAGAAAATACAACCTCCTAACAATACCAAGTCTTAAATAGGCAAAATAAAAATAACAAAAAAATAAAGAATTATAATCATGCGCAATCAAATGAGATAACGCACACTCAAATGTAATCTAAAAATAACAAAAAAATAATAATTAACAATTATTGAAAAGCTCTAAACTATGGAATAAATTATAGAAAAATTCAATCCAAATCAATTAAATCGGGTGCATCAATAACGAATATAACTGCAAGAAGTGAAGAAAATCAGAATAACTAAAAATTTAAATAAAAGGAATAACTTTTTGGGGTTGTTAATCTTAATATTATCGCAAATAATGGCAAAGAAGATGGAGCAGTTAAAGCGAGTGTTGGGTTAATATTAAGAAGTTGGGCCAGTTAAAACAAGAAGAAAAGACCAAATTGTGATTAAGCCCTATCCATCACAATTCACAACACAAGAGACGAGTAGAGAAGGAAACGATAAAATAAGTGATAGTGGCAGCGGGAGGGAGAGAATAAGAAGAAGAACAAGAAGAAGAAGAATTGAATTGATTGTTAGAAAGTTCGAGAAGAGAAGGGAATCGTGCCGTGTGGATTGAGTTGTGTGTTTCCGATTTGAAACAAATCGTGGAGAAACAACAAAAATGGCAGATGTAGCTGATAAATTGGCGTATTTTCAAGCGATCACGGGTTTAGAAGATCCAGAGCTATGCACGGAAATCCTCGCCGCTCATGGCTGGGACCTCGAACTCGCAATCTCCTCCTTTACCTCAACTTCTAACCCCGCCGTCGCTGACGATGCCGACACCGACACTCACACATATCATCATCGTGATGTTCATGATGCTCCCTCTTCCAATCTACAATCAGAATCGCCTCCGCCTCCGCCTCCTCCCGGTTTGGCTTGGAAGCTCATCAAGTTACCCGTTTCCGTCATTTCCGGCAGTCTAGGGTTAATTTCCGGCGCTATCGGCTTGGGCTTATGGGCCGCCGGTGGCGTCCTTTCTTACTCGCTCGGCTTCATAGGCTTCGGCTCAAACGCCGCCTCATCGTCCTCCTCCGCCGGGACCCCGTTGGTTTCGGTGTCGACTGCGACGGCCGAGGCGATGGATTTCGTGGCGGCGTTCGAGAGGGATTACGGGACGACCAGGCCTAATTTCGTGAGCGAGGGGTTCATGGACGCTCTTCAGAGGTCGAGGAATTCGTTTCAGCTTCTCTTTGTTTACTTACATTCCCCCGATCATCCCGATACGCCGTCGTTCTGCCAGAGGACGCTTTGCTCCGACACTTTTGCCGCCTTTGTCAACGAGAATTTCGTGTCGTGGGGTGGGAGCATTCGCGCTAGCGAAGGTTTTAAGATGAGTAACAGCTTGAAGGCTTCTCGATTCCCCTTTTGTGCTCTGGTCATGGCCGCCACCAATCAGAGAATTGCGCTGCTTCAACAGGTATGCTCCTGCTCCTTCACTTAAACTTTCTAGTTCTGAGTCCTTCAATTTTTTTGCTTCTTGTGCGTTCTTATCCGTTTATTTGTTAATAACAAATAAATAAATAAAGGATTATGCTGCAGTTTAAAATGGGAGCAAATGGCTTATGGGTATGCTATGCTTTCAGATTTAAATTATGCCCATGCTGTTGGCATGATGCCCATTAATTTGTGAAATTGCCCATTTATGTGTATGTATCTGTAAAGGTAAAGAATGGGACCAAACTAAACTGCTGTTTGGTTCCGTTTGGTTAAACAATTCACTCAATTTTGTTTGGATTTTGGAACACCTCTAGCTGTGATGAGCTTATTGTTGCGATATTAAGAACGGGGAGTGAGAGAGATTAAAAACAATCCCCAAATTCATTATTTTGACCAGTTAGAGCCTGTGTTATTATGCTGCCTTTGTAATTGAGAATAGAAGAGGGGAGAGGTGGAATAAATCTCTAAACCAAAATATGCTTAGTTTTATGTTCTAAAAAATATGCTTAGTTTTAAGTAGCATTCCCTTTTACATTATATCCTTACCAGGATAAAACAAGAAATAAGTTTGATTTGATGGTTTTGATTATTATGAATTTCTTGCTTTGGCAAATTGGAGTGAACTGGGCTAATTTGTCAATACTTGTAAGATAATTACGACTCGGATTACTTTTAACAAACACATGTAAAACAATCCAAATTTAATGCCATAATTAATACCTGAATAAGTTACAGTTTCTTCCTGTGCTTTGGCCTGAATTTACTTTGCCCCTCCATGATTTTAAAAGTGACTATTTTCCTCCAAAGAGCTTTGATAAGTTAACATGTGAGTCACCTTCCCTTTAAACAGATGGCTCCTGCTGTCACCTTCTCCATTTACAGAATTTGGTTGATATGGATATATCATTCTCCACTTCCAGCCTCCTTCCTGACAAACATCATAGTTCCTCAGCTCCCCTCTCTCTCTGTTGAAAAGTTTGGATTCACTGATTGATTGGACCTCCTTTGGCACAGCAGTTCAGCAAACATGTCGTCCACCCTTTGGAACATCTCTTGTGACTCCGTACTTATTTCCTTGACTCTCCTTTCCATTTCTTCCAGCCCTGCTTCTGCTATTGTTTGTACATTCAGGTCTCCCAGAGCGGGAGACCTTATAACAAGTTGATAAGTCCTTGGCATTAGAGACAAGAAAAATGGACAGAACTCCTTAGTAGCAGGGAATTCTATCTCCCAGTATCAAGATTCTAATCGCAACCAGAATTGCCCAAAAACAGAGAAATAAAAATAGTACAAAGGAACAATCTCAGGAGCTGATATTTCTAGGCCCAAGAGAAGTCGCCTCTCCGGCTTTCCCAAAACTGCACTCTATATCTTCTCTTCCCTCTCCCTATCTCTTCCCTCATTCCTAACATATCCTGAATCTTCCCCTCTACGATGGATCATAGAAGTGAATAGCGCACAATAGCACTACTGTAGCGCATTGCGGCCCATGGCCGCTACAGTGCCCAACGCAACACACTAACTACAAGTAGCATCCGTAGAGGTCGCTATTCCACCCATTTAGCGGCAAATCGCAGAGCTATTGCGCTGCTATAGTGAAAGAGGCCAACTTTACATATTTGCCCTCATTTTTAAATCATAACAGTAACATTTAAAGGATTTTTTCGTCCTTTAACCTTTAAAACATCTGAATCCTTCTCTCTCCCCTTCATTTCTTCGCTCCGTCACTCTTTGTTTCTGCGAACAACAACCAGCCACCAGCGACAACCTTCGACGGCAACCAGCAACCTTCGACGGCGACCAGCGACGGAGACGGAGACAAGCAACCAGCGACCAGCATCCTTCGTGTCTGTTTTTCGAGTTTGTCTCCCTATCTTTCTTTTTTTTTTTTTTTATGTTTGTGTCTCTCTTGCTCTCTGTTTTTTGCTTTGTTTATGGTGTCTCTCTCTTTTTTTCCTTATAGTCTCTCTCTCTCTCTCTCTCTGTTAGTGTGTCTCTCTGTTTTTTATCTTCATGTCTTTATCTCTCTGTTCTAGTGCCTCACTCTTTTTCGTTTTTTTTATTTTTTATTTTTTATTTTATTTTTTTTAATCATAAGAATCCATTCTCTTTCTTTTTATAATTTCTTTTCCATCTTTTTTTTTATGCCTTTTTTTTTCTGAAGCTGGTTGCTTTCACGAGGGAGTGATTCCCTGCAACCCAAAGTCTTTTTTTTATCTGCCCCATCTGTGGTGATGATGGAATTCTAGATTCTGATTAGTTCTTTTTGACATTTGAATATGGAAATGGAATGGAATATTTTTTGGATATTGTTATGTTTTGGATATTGACAATATTTAGATCTTTTAATTGGCTACTTGGAATTCCTGTTTGTTTTGGAGCAATTCTTTATTATTATTGATTGTTTTTATTTTTTAGCATATATATGTGTGGTGTATCTAGGTTCTGTAATATATTCCGTTATTTCCGCAACCTCAACCCGCTATGGCATTTTTTAGGGTTGGCCGCAACAGGCCGCAATCCGCTTTTAACTACTATGCAATGGATCGGCATTTGCCACCTTTACAGTTTGTTTCTAGCAGCCTTCTATCTCATTTTTTCTCTCTTCTTCCTCAAGTACCCTTTCTTTTGATGTGATAATCCCCCAAGGTGTCAATCCCCTATGTCTCCTCCTATTACTCCTTTCATACACCTTTATTCTATCATAAACTTGCGTGGTCATTAATGGTAACTTTTTTTACTGGTGTATTCCGTGATTTAGATCATAACAGTTTTACCAAAATTATACTTTTGTAAAATGAATGAGCTTAGCCTTATAACTTAACTGGATCAGTTCACATTCCTCAGGATATAGTTCTATGCAGATAATGTTTTAGTATATAAACTTTTTCTACAGGAAGTATCAATAAGGTTATGAAATGTTTGTTTCTCTTATTTACATATAATTTGGCTGAACTGACGCATGATGCTCTTTTGTCTTTCTAGGATCTGGTCCTATATTAGGAACTATAGTTGTAATATCACTTTTCAAATCTATTGTTAGGATTCAAAGCCTAAAGTTTGTTATTAATGTATGCATGTTGAGTTCTAGAATGATGAATTTTAGTTTCATGCATGATAAATTTACCAGGTGTAGCTCAATCATAAAGCCCTATATGTGAGTTTTTGCATCCAATATTTACATAAAAGCATATAAAATAGATTAATAAAGAGAGAAATATTAGGTCATACTGTACACTTAACATGATTTTCTGTTTGTTTAGCTCAACTTTGAAGCCTTCTATGTGTGAATTTATTTTAAAATACATCTTGTGTTTGTTGTATGTAAGATAAAGCTTACACACGCAAATATATAATATGTATTAAATAGAAAAATAACTAAGAGAGATATAACACCTTGATGTTGGCTTCATGAACAAGATTTTGTGGTGGTTGTTTTCTAGCGTTGATCAACCTGAAAGCTTCAGCTCAAGTTGGTCTCCCTGTGTGTGAATTTTTGTGTAAAATATTTACAAAAGTGTGTAAGGAAATGTCTACACACGTAGTTAATGTGCGTAAAACTTATAAGTAACGAGATATTCTTCCTTTTTGCTATTTTTTTTTAAAAAAGAGAGAGATATTTAGCCTTGAAGCTAGCTTGACGTCCATGATATTTTTATAAAACAAAAGCTGTCCACAACTGAAAAACCTGAAAATTATGGCTCAATTTCAAAATCTTACATGAAATTGTTTAAAAAAGTTATTTTTGCACACACACACACATATATATATATAGAGAGAGAAAGAAAGGGGGGGGGGGAGTTTAGGAGGGTAGGTTTCCTATTCCAAGTTCAGGCATGCCACAAGCCTTAGCAAGGGTTTAAAGCAATACTTACTACTTACAGCAACAATTGAACCCAAGACTTTTTCGTTGATGCAGTTCAATGCTGTTGAGATATATAGTCCCACATTGGTTGTATGTGCAACTAATGTGAAGTTTATAAGGCTTTGGGCACTTCCACCCTTTGAGCTAGCTTTTGGGGTGGTGTATCCCAAGGTTCTTTACATGGTATCAGAGCCTGGCCCTGGACCGATGTGTACAGCGGGGACGCTGTATTCCCAGTGGGGGAGGATGTAATATCCCACATCGGTTGGAGAGGGGAACGAAGCATGCCTTATAAGGGTGTGGATACCTCTTCTAGTGTGAGGCCTTTTGTGGGGTTTCCCAAGAAACAAAACCGTGAGCTCGACGGTGCTTGTGCGCGGGGCAAAGCGGACAATATTGTAGCATGATATTGTCCGCTTTGCCCCGCGCACAAGCACCGTCGAGCTCACGGTTTTGTTTCTTGGGAAACCCCACAAAAGGCCTCACACTAGAAGAGGTATCCACACCCTTCTAAGGCATGCTTCGTTCCCCTCTCCAACCGATGTGGGGCTATATATCTCAACAAATGCTACTAATTGAGCAGTTGAGCCAACCCTCACTGGCAAAAAGCTGCATGTATTTGTTGTAAGATAAGGGTTATGCATATAATATGGATAAGTTACGAGAGACCAGACCTGTGAGATTGGCTTCACGATCATGATGCAAAGTGAGGTAGTTTTAGGCTTTTAGCACCTAAAGTGACAATTATGTTCATATTCTGTTAGAATATGGATGGATAAAAAACCATAGGAATGTTTATATATGTCTATAGCTCAAGGGTTTTTAAGTGTCACTTTTGGTGTTGTTTGGGCACCTTTCTTGTCACTCGTATTAAAAGCAGACAATGACATTGAAAGAAACATTCTTTGCAGAATCCTTTTCTTGGGATAACCACTTTCTCATATTGTTGCTGGTATGATATCAGATTATCAGTAGCAATAGCATTGAGGTTGTTGTGAAGCTGAATTGAATGATCTGCATAAATTCCATTTTTTTACGTATAGAATTTGATTTCCAGAGCTAAAGCAATAGATTGCAGTAATCACCATGAGAAATACTTTCTTAGGTCAAGTATCTTTTCCTTTACCATATTGCAAGAACTGATGTTGGCTAGATGAAGATTCCCTTGTTGTTCAGAATAAGTTTTGGTTCAATGCCTTGAAGCAGAGTTTGATCCATGTAGCTGATCCCACCTAGTGGTCTGAGGCTTGATTGTTGCTGTTGTGTTTAAGTTGCTTGACTTTGTACTTTGTCACTTGAAAATATTTTTTCATGGTCAGTTGGTCTGAAATACCTGGGCTTATGAGGGAGATTGTGATTGGTGGTGCCAAATGGTTATGCCACAAATGACCTCAAGTTAACAGTATATAGGTTCAATTCCGTTAGTACATTTTTCTATAAAGACTGTATTTTTGTGTTATTGATATTTAGTTCAGGTTCTTCATTGTCTTATTAAAATGATGTGCCAAGTATTGTAGCTAATAAAGCATTCTGATTAAGATGCTTTTTTGGTCAATCTATTTGTAATCCAGGTTGAAGGTCCAAAATCTCCCGAGGAGATGATAGTGATACTACAGAAAGTGCTTGAAGAAAGTTCCCCAGTTCTTGTTACAGCAAGGCTTGATGCAGAAGAAAGAAGAAATAATATGCGCTTAAGGGAGGAGCAAGATGCTGCATATAGGGCTGCGCTTGAAGCTGATCAAGTATGCTTTTTGTAGTTTTTAGTTTGGTCATTTTTGTGTGGTCTCTACTCGATGGCTTGTCATTTTTTCCATTCTTAACTTCTTCCCTTGTAGAGGCCTTTATTTGGAAAGAACTGGCACTTTTTTTGTTGCAGTGGATTAATGTTTTATATACGTCCAGGCTAGGGAACGGCAGAGGAGAGAAGAGCAAGAACGTCTTGCAAGGGAAGCTGCTGAAGCTGAGAGGAAGCTCAAGGAGGAAGAGGAGGCCCGGGAAAGAGCAGCACAAGAAGCTGCAGAGAAACAAGCTGCATTAGCTAAAATACGTCAAGATAAAGCTGTCTCTCTTGGTGAAGAACCTGAAAAAGGACCTAATGTTACCCAGGTGAAGTATTTGAAGATTTGGCTAAAAAATTTCTTCTTTAGTGCCTTTATGCTGTTCTTGGCATGTTTCATTTGTTCATATATCTGTTAAGATAATTTGTTTTCACTTGTATGTAAAATTTGTAATTCATATATGGTTTCCCTTGTATGTCAGATATTAACTGCTATTCTGATATGTTTTTAAAGTGCTTTACCCTCCCTTTTTAGTTTCTCATTTTTTTTTTGTTCGCAGTTCAGTTTGTTTAATTATGTTATAATTTGTATGATATCTCTGTTTTCTTTTTTTTCCCTTTCCCAATCAAAATTATTAGGTTTTGGTACGGTTCCCAAATGGTGTACGCAAGGAAAGGAGGTTCAACAGCACAGTGACAATTCAGTCTTTATATGACTACGTTGACTCATTGGGTTGTTTAGAAACCGAGAGTTACAGCCTAGTCTCCAATTTTCCTCGGGTTGTTTATGGACAAGAAAAACTGACACTGCCATTGAAGGAAGCAGGATTGCATCCTCAGGCCAGCCTGTTTGTGGAGCTCAGTTCATGAGAATAAAACTTTGCCAAATAATTGTATGAATTCATGAAGATGGCCTGCAAATAGGAAATTCTGTTGTGTTTCACTTTTCTGTTTAAAAAAAAAGTGACTTGATGAACAATTATATCGGATGTAATAGGCTGTCGTGCTGTCTGTAGATTTGTTGCCCTTATTTTCCATTGAATCAAGCAGATAGTTTTACATGGTGATGGTTTAGAATAATTAATTATGGGTTTTATTAATCTCATGTTGAAGGAGATAAGTTATCTCATGTCATAGAGATAAACTTGTGGGCTCCACCACCTAAAAAATAAAAGGAAAAGAAAAAAAAAAGGTGGCACAGTTATCGAATGGTGTGTAGGAGAAAAATTTACCACATGTAGCATAAGAGTAATTTTTCTTATTAATTATATGGTTATATAACTATGGGCAATGGTTTTCTCCATCCACATGTGATAAGATATTTTTTCTACAATATATCGAGTTGTGTGTCAAATTTGTTTTTATTTTTTATTTTATTTTTTAAAACGATAGTTTCACTATTTTGTTTTTGTAGGAGATAAGTTTTTAATTTCTGTAAAGGAAAAAGTGTTTATTCTTTTAAATGACATAACTTATATTCTTTTATTCTCATAAAGAGGTGGGACTCGTACCTTTATTTTTTTTTGACAACTCTCTTTTCTTTTTTATTTATCTCTTTCTCTCTCTTAAAATGACATAACTTAGCAGCCTTTAAAATAATATACACTTTTCCCTTCTATACAATAAGAAAAGTTTATCCCTATAACTATTATCTCACAGGAACAAAAATTTGTTCTGCTAGAGACACAAGCATAGAAAAGAGAGAAAGTGGAAGCAAGAAAGAAAAAAATAAAAGGTTTTATTTATGGGGTTTGCATTTTTCATTTAACATGACACAACAAATTTTTCTACACATACAATATTTTGTGAGGCCCACACTTTTTGAAGAAAAAAGAAAAGAAAAAATTACGGCAAGCAAAACGAATCTCTATAACATTACACAATCACTTTTCTTACAACATAACTCTTATAAAATTTTTTATTTATTACATGTAACCGTAAAACTATCCTCACATCGATAAGTGGGCTACCCTTTTTTTTTCTTTTTTTCCTCTCACCTGGTGGGTCTTGCTTTTGAATGAGTGTGCAGGAATAAGATTTTGTTTTCGTGTTACTTGATACTAATAAATCCCATAAAAAAATAAGTGGATCCCATCCAAATTTGTCTTGAGGACAATTTTTTTTATTTCTATGACATAATAGTTATATAACCTTTATTCATCTTTTATTCTCTTTTTTAAGGTTCTTTCTTGGCCCTAGTGATTATTTCCGGTGGCCGAAAGACAGCCATATCATGGTGCGTTGAGCTGTTGATCGAATCAGCTGAAAGCTCAATGTTGTGTTGACGTAGTATTCAACTACACCATTATTATTTTTAAGATCAAATTCCAATTCATAACTATTTTTCTTCCACAATCACTCTGTTGTCTAAAGAAATCATCAAAAGGAAGTTTGACTAAAGGTTTACGCTTCGATGTAAAGATTTGTTTGGGTAATAATCGTGATTAAGTTTTAATAATCCCACGATCACAATCTTTGGTTTTTAGTGACAAATTTTGCTACATAAATCTTCAATATTTGGAGAAGAAAGCCCAACAACCTATCAACGCAATATATCAAATGTTACACACAGGCATGCCCAGAAAGTTTGCTCTAGCTTCTCCATGACAGAAGTCACCATTTCATCGCCAAGATTCGCCAAGCTGGTCCAACTTAAGATGCATAAGACAAACTTATCTAACTGTTCCTTCCAACTAGATATTCCCGAGCGATGGTTCAAAGGTGTAACAACATCCAAAGTCTTCTTCAATTTGGTAAATCAACATATTATTAGTCTTCCCAATATACGCGGATTCTTTTGTAAAGGATTATATTTCTTTTAAATTGAAATTTCCAATGCTTCCCATGTAGAACTCGTTCATGATCATTCATAATTTATAAAAAATAAATAAATAAACAATCTCCAAGACAAAACATATCCAGATTGAATTTGATAAGAGAATACACAGAAAATAACAAAAATTGAATTTAACTCATGTTCAAATTGAGCATTGTAGTATATAAACCTACACACCAACAGCCACACTGGGATTATTTATAAGATCAATCTTTAGCTACTACCACTACCAGTTTTCCCTGACAATTTTAGACTTCTCAAGTATGTACTTGCCTTCTTTGTACTTCTGTGTTTCGTCATAGGCTCTTTCATATTTCCAACCAATCACTACATTGCAGTCAGAACAGTAGACATCAGCAACTGTATGGAGACCCGTCATGAGTTGCCTGTCTTCTTTTTGCCCTACAGCAATGTTCATTGCATGGGAGAATAGAAAAGCTCGTCCATTTCTTCCCTGAAACAAAATTTGGAATCACCAATTTGCCCAAACACGTTGAATGCAATCCAAAAGATTTATCATGCTTATAAAAGCAATCCTACATGTACCATGTTGCAGTATGTGTTGGTCCTTGATTATGCATTCTACTACACACAAACGACTGAAATAGTCTTGTAATCAAAACAACCAATTGAAATCAAACTAAAACTCTTCCAAATCCAACCATATCATATCATAGTAAACTGCTTATCTTGTTTGATCATGATGTCAAATAGATCAAATTCAGAACTAAAACCATTACCAAAGAATAATTAAAAAATAAAATTATAAGTTAAAGCTGAGAGAACATGTTCACCTGAAAGGCTTTTGAAATCACATCGTCGTGAAGGGCAACATGGTTTCCACAATTACAGCAACTGTACAAGCTAGGTCCAATCAAACCCTCCATATCAAAGATTAATTAATTATATAAAGTTATCAACTTTCACCACGCTTGTCTCAAACTCAACCCTTCTGAAAGAAAAATAGTTCAATAAAAGATATTAAGTGATTATTAGGCAATAGGCAGAGAGTGAAAACCGTGAAGAAGAGAACAAACCCAGAATGCGTAGGAAAATATATGACTCGCATTGAGATGTGACGTGCTGAGTACTTTGATACATTCGATCAAAGATTCCAACTTTCGCTCACCCAATTTCAGATGTTCAGTTTTCAACCACTTTTCATTTTCATTTTCATTTCCAACTTGAAATTGAATTATAAGTACCTGGCCCCACTAACCGAAAGGGATTGTGTTCTAGTCTTTACTCTCTAGATGCTTTTGGGGCTGTCAATCAGATCTGACATGATTAATCTGTGTAACTTGTAATTGAGAGAGAGAAGGGAGCGCAATCTCCCATTGTGAGTCCCTTCCTTTTGCTTTTATCAGTTTTATGTCACCTAGAATACTGTGCTGCACCATACTGTAAATGGAAAAAAGTTAAAATACCTTAATAAATTTCACGATGTCCGCTTTAGTCCCCAGCAAATAAAAAGGTTCATCGTGATCCCTAAGAAATTTAAAATGAACCTATTTAGTTAAAATCGTAGTCCTCACAAATTTCAAAAAAGACCCATATTAGTCCTTCAAAGGGACTAAAATGGGTATATTTAGAATTTCTTAGGAACCACAATGAATCTTTTTATTTATTAGGAACTAAAGCGGACATCGTAAAATTTACTAAGGATCAAAAAAGATATTTACTCTAATAATAATAATAATAATAATAATAATAATAATAATGCTTTTTAAGACTGTGCTTCACCTAGAACATTGTACATGCCAGCTGTCTTGTTTTTTTGTTTCAGAAAACAAGTCCCGAAATTTACCAGACCTATTACATCTTGTGAAGCGTATTGATTTTCGTTATTATGAGGAGAAGATTGTATTTATAATTTTTTTTATAAATTATATTAAGTATGATTTGTAAAAATAATTATAAATAAATTTTTTCCCCTTTCAAATTATTACGAGATTAATCCAGAATATAGATCAGTGATAAAAATACTTAAATCTCTCACCAAAATCTTTTCTATTACACATTAATTAGGCAATTTTCCCCCAAAATTTGCTGTATTACAATCATTTTGCCACCAAGTGAATTAAAAAAGAAAAAGAAACACTACCAAACATGGATCTGGATTCTTTCATACGAAAATTTATATAATCATGTCACGTGAGAAATCATAACTATACAAAGATGGATCAATGATAATAAAAGAGTAGAAAAAAAAAATATTAAAATAAATAATTACGAAATCATAACCGTTGATTTATCTTTTTGTGATCTTATCATATCATTTTTTTTTTTTTTCAGAGGATCCATTTCCACCGAACATAGTAAACTGAAAGTCTGAAAAATGTAAATGCCGGTTACAGAAGCTAGTCTCTTAACACGTGTGATCTTTGTCTATTTTATAGAATAGATTTTTCTTTTTGGTGAAGTTTTTTAAAGAATAGAAAATAAATAGTTCCCCTCTTCTTTTTTTCTTTTTCTTTTTCATCTTTTTGGAATCCTCCTGTTTCCAATTAGGAGAACTAAGATTTTGTCTAAAGATATAAAAGAATTGATTTTAAAATTTTAGTTTTGTTAAATAATGTAGACTAAAATCACCACAATTAATAAGATACTTTTATAAATTTTGTGTATCTGATCACTTTTTAAAGTTGATTTTGTAATTTTAATTGCAAGAATTTTTTATAAATAAAATTACAATAATTCACCCTCATTTTGTTTTCCCTGCCATTTCAGCAAAATCGATTATAAGGGGCTCAATAATTTTAAAAATCTAAATCAAGTATACTAGATTATGGTTGCAGATGAATAATTGAAGATGCATTGCGGAAAATGGAAATCTCTAATTACAAAGTATTACATTACAATATTACGTTGCTGAAAGAGCTACGATATATATCGTAGGCCTGTTCCAAAATCATGGAACAGGCAAATTGAAAAGATAAATCAACTTGAAGAATTACAGAGCTTTGAGAAAAGAATGCAAAGGAAAAGAAAAAAGAAAAATAAAAAATATCACCATGGACATTTGTGACCTTGACTTACTCCTCAGCCCTTACATTAAGGCAGAGAACAGCATACATATCACGAATCCAATGATGAGAATTTGAAAAGTTGAAGTTAACTGAGATGAGGTTGAGGTTGAAGGAGATATTGGAATGTTGCCAAATACTGTGGGATAAGAAGGTGCATATGCAGGTAATGAACTTGGTCCAGATGCTCCATCCATATTTGATATTCCCCCTCCTCCACCAACAGATACATGAAGCTTTTGATTTTTTTGGCAATGCCCAGCCACTCCACTGGTGAAGTAGAATTCACCATGTGATGTGATGTTAAACAAAGAGTTTCCATTGTTCATATATAATATAGGGTCTTTAAGGTTGCAGCTCTTGTAGGATTCCTCTGTAACTTGAATAACTGAATCTTGACTTGGTGGGTATAGAAACACTGCGTATATGTGTGTGTGTGCAAAGATAAAAAAAAAAAAGAGATTAGAAATGTATTCTTTTGTTATTGTAACAGGAAGGAACATTGGTGTAGTTGTATAAAAGAAATCATATAGTAAATTAAATAGTATAAGCTTACAAAGCGAGTCTCCAAGCTTTAGATTGTGATATTTGGACCACACGGTGTAGACTTGAGGATTTGCTGAAGTGGGTATTCCCCAAGCATCTAAATCTCCAACTTTGTAGTAATAGCAGAGCACCTTGGTTTGGATTTGGAACAACGTAAGCATGAGAGACACCGACAATTTATGATTTAAATGATTGGCCATCTTGGTTCCACTCTGAGGAGTCACAAACATACGAACCTCTACTCTTTTCTTAGATTTTTCTTAGATTTAGGAGTCTAGGACCGCGCAGGATGACTTAATGTCTCGAGCATGGCGATTGGAAGATTGATAATGATATAAAGGTCAATTTACTTGAGTGTCCTATCCCTACATAATGTCTAAGAGTAACAATTTTGATATTAATATTTAAATAAGAGGTATGTTAATATAAGTTCGTATTTATTAAAAATTTCATGCTCACACACACATAATTATATCTTGTCATCAGTGTCTAATAATATTATTTAAAAATACAAATAAAATTCATTAACTAGTCTAGTTGCGTTGTCATTCATTCATTCCTTTCTTCTAAAGAGACCTGGATCTAAAAAGTAAAAACTGAACAAGTCTAAACATGATATATATATATATATATATATATATGATTCAGGTTAAAATGACCTTGCAATTAGGCTGAAAAGGCTAGCAATGAGGAAGATACTGCTGGAAGAATGTGAATGAGATAGCGAGGAACTTTTGTTTAGAGGGATAAGACAGGGAAACAGATCAACTAGACAACTATATAAGACTAATAATTTGCACATGGACCAGATGGCTCTCTATATTTGTTTATGAAGTTTGGAATTTGGACTTGGGATTGTCTCTTCTTAAGACAATGTGTGTGTATGGGTGTGCAAAATAACCAAAAAACTGAACCGAATCATGAACTGAACCGAACTGCCCTTAAAATAACCGATTTTTAAAAATCAATTTATGAACCGAATCGGTTTTTAAAGAACTAGTTCATGAACCGAACAGGTTTTTAGAACCAGTTTAAGAACCGAACCATTTTGAACCGAACCAAATTAATTTTTATAACTTTATTTTTTAAATTTTAAATTTTTTTTCTTTTTAAAGAGGATCGACCCGAACCGGTTCCGAACCGAACCGAACCGTTTCTAACCGTACTGAACCACTTCCGAACCGAACCACTTCTGAACCGAACCATTTAAACCAAGGGAAATCATATTCTTATGTTGCATAAGATGGATCTCTTATGTCACTCTCTCTTCAAAAAATGTGCCTCTCTCTTTTCTTTTTTATAAAATTTGATGGGACCCACTTTATTTGTCTCTTTAACATGAGAAAACTCCTCTCATACTACATGAAAAAAGTAATTCCCTTAAACAAATTCGGTTCGATTTTTCAAAAAATCTGTTCGACCCTTGTACATCCCTATGTGTGTGTGTGATTGTATCACATTATCATGTGCGGCAGAGATGAAACATAGCAAAATTTCTCCAGGCACATCACATGGTTAGCTAAATGGAAGTAGTTGATTTTCTAATGAGTGTAATAATACTAAAAAACTAGAGCAAATTAGACTTGAAAAAACCCAACCTCACTTATGACATACAGGTCTACAACAATACTTTAATGGACTTCATTTATAGAAGGCTCTGCCTGTGTAGGCTGCACCCGTTACTATCGACCCCGTAAGGGTTAATCATAACTTTAATTGCCAAAAGCAAAGGTAGACAGTCCCTGTCAAGTTAACCCAACTACATTGATAAAACATAATGTCCAAAACTGAATATAACAATCGACCAAAATCAAATTGTGTTTTAGGCTTTAGTATTTGGTTAGAACTTTGTAATGAATTTCGTGCTTGTGGTGGTTCATTCTATTTGACAGATTTTCTCTTTTCCAAACTTTCGTACAATGTTTTGCGCAATAAAATTCGAGAGGCAGAACATTCCTTGATTAAATGAATTCCCATTTGATATGTCTATTGATCTGTTGTTTTGGGAATCCTTTAAGGTTCCATATGTTTGGCCATCAAACAAGAGCTTTTTAAGAAACAACATCCTTATTCAATACAAAAAATCCATTTCAAATTCCCAAAACATTGGCAGTGATATATCATCCCTAAGCCACCAGGAATGAATAGAAAATGACAAAGGTAGTTTAGAGCAATATTATTAAATCGGGTATCGACTCGGTCGAGTATCATGTTAGTGGGTCACTAGTTCAACACTGGTTGAACCACATGACCTTAATAGATTATGTATATAAATTTATATTTTATACTCAAATTTTCTTCATAGTAACTTCTATATTGTCAAGCAAAATTTATAATTATATTTATTTAAAATTATCTAAAATTATGTCTGACAACAAATGCAAGAATTGGTTTGAGAAACAATGTCTTGACATGGAAGAGGATATTATCATATTCAACCAGCCTACTCCTCAAATGATCAGTTTACTAGATGAGGATTTACTTATTTTTCATAGGGAAATGTGTTTCTCATGTTGCATGAGATAATTTGTCTCATGCAACACAAAAAAAATGGATGCGACCCATTTTTTTCTTTTTCTTTCTCTCTCTCTTTCTTAGTGGGTCCCACCTATTTTTATGTGAGTTGCATGAGACAAATTGTCTCATGCAACATGAGAAAAATCAAATCCTTTTTCATAACTATAAAACTATTGCATCTTTGTAATTCATTTTTTCGGGCTTAGACCCTCCCTAATTACAGGAAAAAAAATTATCCATGGCCCATTATTAAAAATATAAAATTAATATCACTTTTCAAATTTCAAATTAACTTTCCCCGATGTCTTCTATGTTTGTATGCTTTCAAATTTCAATCCAACTTACATAGGTCTTCACTTTTCATTTCAATTTCATTTTTCTTAACTTCAAATGTTTTATCATGCTTTGTTTTTTGTGTGATTGGTATGTGTATTTGTGAATTGAAAAGAGTGTACTACAATTTTAAGATTTTGCATTTGGTCGTTGCTTAAAAAACAATCATGTTTCGCTTTCAAATTTCAATCCAACTTACATAGGGTTTTCACTTTTCATTTCAATTTCATTTTTCTTAACTTTAAATGTTTTATCGTGATTTATTTTTTGTGTGATTGGTATGTGTATTTGTGAATTGAAAACGGTGCACTACAACTTAAAGATTTTGCATTTGGTCCTTGCTTAAAAAAAAAACATATGCATGACCCAACTGGGTTAACAAAAACAAATTGTACTCCCCAGTTTTGACATAAATTAACTGAGTCAACCTGATTCTGATTGGATCAATTGCATGACCAATCTGTTGGCTAACTTGAACTGGTTAGGTCATCAGTTCACTGGTTTTCAAATCAACTCATTCGGATCGAGTCGGGTTTAATAACACTAGTTTAAAATTTATAAGTTCAAATCATGTCCTTGTTGAACCGCACACATACACAAAAGTCAACATTTGTAATACCCCGTTCTAAAACCGGTTTGTTAACATTACGTATGGCATTAAGCGCAGTTACAATCACAGCAATTGAATTAAAGTAAGGATTAAATTTTTCTTTTTTAGTTATAAACATTTTTGTTTAAAATCAATTCCGTAATTAAAACAATTTCAATAACTGTGATCATAACTTAAACTATATGTGGAACACTTAATGTAAGTTTTATTTAGACCATATATTGCTACCATAGTGTGTCAAGTAGTCCCCTTAGACCAACAAGGCTTAAGAACTCATTTTTATTGTAATTCAACACTAAACACTTCCACTTTTTAGTTACTTAAGAAATTTTATACTACTTATCTGATCCTCATCTCCTAATATGTTATAGATCTCTTTATTACGTGGATTCAAACCGCACTCAATTCGGAGCACTGTAGCCCAAGTTATGAATTTTCTAAGAAAAAGGTGCTGAACCCACTGTGCCCGGCACGAATAGCGCCATGAAACAACAGATTTCCAGATTTCTGGCGCGAACAGCGCCAGAAATGCATTTTTCCCCTGTATGTTGGCGCGGTTAGCGCCACCACGGCGCTAATAACGCCAAAGTTCTGGAAATTACACCTAACCTTAGTATTTTATCCCTAATTAGAGTTATACTTATTCGATCGATGCAATCTTGGTCTCGTTGGAAAGCTAAGAAAAAGATCTACAACTTCCATTAAGACAAAAGAGTCCAAATCTATCATATATAATATGAAAAATGGACAACAAGACATGAAATGTTTATTTTTACATGGATTTTCAACCGAAACGTCTTCTTTCACTTAATTGACATCATACCACCACTTCCATACATGATTCTTAGCTATTTCAAGACACACATTTATCAAAATAGGCATCAATGCCCTTCCATCAAATATACAATAAGTACAATATTACAATATTCAAATGTCTTTAATACATAATCATGAGACTTAGCTGCAAAACACTATGATCAAACAATTGGCTCTCATTAACAACAAGAGACACCAAAGGAGGTGAGGATAGACTAAGTCCACCAAATAAAGCATGATGTATATATATCTAGTAGCTTTCAAATATAAACTCTATACATATGAACTATTAAATGACATGCATAACCAAAATAATGCAATATCCCATGTATCAGCTAATCCAAGTATGGCCACTTGCCACCAGAGGCTCCAGCAGCATTTGTACCTGAAAGGGGGTCTCCATAACACGGTGTGAGATATACGAATACAACTCAGTAAACCATGGGTCCTTGGAGCATTTATCCACCCCATACTTCACTCACAGTATAATAGTAATAACTGTAAATAATGCAGTAAATACATATACATGCAGTGTATCAAACATCTCCATGAGACATCCCTCGAGCTCTCATGTTGTCCTAAGGATACTTAAATGCAAAATAGTCCTACTGGCCAGCTAAACTATCAAGTATGAATTATGCATCGTCATGCAACATACAAACATAAGAAAACACCATCATATGCCACACCCAGTGCATACACATACGTATAACAAAGTATTAAACTACTTTATTGCATTTACATACACTATCAACAACCACTACCCATTCAGGGCTTGGTGGAACAATAAAGGGATCAATTCCCAAGGTCCAAAGGCTTACCTCAATTGCTTCCAATCTCAACCTTTGTTCTTCACCAACTCAAACAATCAAGCTTTATAATCAATACCTACATCAAGGTACTAGACAATCTATCAAGATAATCCAATGAATACCAATATTGTCATCAACCAAACAAACATATTCACACCACAATAGGCATGAACTTACCAATTCACGTGAGCTAATCAAGCTACATGGCTTCCTCCAATGGTTGGTCCTTCAATATTGGTCCACAAGGCTCAATTCTAGCCATCACATAGACACAATTAATATCCCTGACCATGAATTTTAATTAATGGTGTGTAATTAGGCAATTAAGCTTGTATTAGTATGTTGAATTAGGTAAGATATCTAATTAAATGACTTAGGGTCACTTTTGAGGTAAAAAGTGCATTAAGTGAAAATTATGGGGTAAAAATATGTGGGCAAAAGTACTCAAAATGTAAAAGTAAAAGTAGAAATATTCCTAGAAAAATATTTCAGACCTTAGGTTAAAGTTTGGTGGTGAACGGAGTTAACTAGATAGATAAGCTTTTACCCAGTGGAAATAACTTAACTAAGTTAAGTGTGAAACACAAGACCCATTCCTCACATTCTTCTTCTTCTTCGACGCCAATCAGAGAGGGAGAAAAAGAGAGGCCAAGTTGAAGCCCAAAACCCTAGCTCACTCATCTTTCACTCAAATCAAACCATTCCAAAGCCAATCTTGCTTCAAATCTTTCCCTCTTTGTGGATCCAAGCTTAGTTTTGAGTGAGAAGTTTTATGGAGTGAGATAATTCTTTCCCAAGAATTCGACCCACTTGGTGATTGGAGGAGTTTGCTGGTGGGCATGTAACATCCTGGGCGCTGACGAGGGCGGAGAGTGATCGCCGGTGCGAAAAGGCACAGATAAGGAGCGGCTCTTGGCAGGCTTCCAGCAGCGGGGGTACATGAATGAATCGAACCGACACCCGAAAGATAGGAATTTCAAAGATTGTGCAGGTATGAGACTGCACATTTTGGGATAGCTTATAAGAATTAATTGGTACTAGCTATACTAACAAAATGCATCTACTTTTCGGTAGCCCGGAATAGAAGAACTCCGTAGTTAAGCATGTTTGACTTGGGACAATTCTGAGATGGGTAACCTCCTGAAAGTTTTTCCGAAAAATGTGCGAGTAAAGAAAAAGTACACTGAAAAGTCTCATGTTAATATGTGAAGATAATCATTGATTCTTGAAGCGGCTCGACGTTACAATATTTATTGGAAAACATATCATATCAGCACGAAGCCAAAATAGCCGATTATTGAATTGCTTTCCTGCAAAAATGATTATCTATTTGTGTGGTACATTTGTAAAGGAATAGCATACACGACAAAGAAATCCGGGAAATGGTAATTGCAAAGCTTCAGCAGATTGCAGCCACCTATCTCCGTAAAAATAGTACTTTTTTAATGTATAGAAAAATAAAATTTGCCTCGCTTCAATATACTTGCACAATAATATTTGTAGATAAGATGCGGATGAATGACTACTAATAAGAATCAAACCTAAAACCTTTATATAAACATAATTCCATCTTACAAGCTAGCTAAACTTCATTGGCATATATAATATTGCGTACAATTTCTAGGCCAAATTTTGCTTAATTTTGTCAATATTCTCCAAATTGCAGTTGTTCAATCTATATCTTACTGATCATCATCTTTCTAAATAGCAACTGTTCGTTCACACTTCTAATAGAGGAGTTCCCAATACTTGACACATCGAATTAATCTAACCGGTTGAATCTTCTTAAATCAAGTATATAATAATATAAGGAGAAGGTTATATTGACAAAAAAAAATTTGTTACAAACTACACTAAGTCTGACTAGTTATTCACTCTCAATTGAAATCTGACTAGTCAAACTTAGTGTATTTTGTAAGTTTGTAAGAAAAAAAGTTTGTTAATATAACTCCTCTCATAATATAATTAGATAATATATTTCATATAAATCTTCACAATTCATATACACATAATCAAGCCAAAGAACCTACTTGAGCATACAAACGGAAATACAAATAGAATCGATTGCTTAATCTTGACTGGGATAACATTCTTAAGTTGTTATAAGTTGGATGCCTTAAAGAGTTAAATTTAAATAGTTGATGAAATATTTCACTACCTTGACTCATTTGGTATACAACTTATTATTCAGTTGTTAGAATACAACAAAACTATACAAAGCTCAAATCCGATATAGTAATAATAATAAAGACGGTTCAATATATGGGGATATTATTTTTCCCCCGGGGTCATGTCCCCATAACTTATAAGTTATCACGAGAATTCCTAATTAATCTGAAAATGGAACAGGTTGCAGTATGATACAGCGGAGAAGCTCATTTACATCTGAATCTTGAATGAAATAAATAATGAGATTAACCTTGATAGATGATCATTTTGCTCATTTGCACTTGCAGGGCTTTAGATGGTCACAGAGGCTTATTGAAGACAAGGAAGGGTGGATAAGAGAAGATATATGACTCTTATCAAGGACTATTAACATCCAAAAAGTAGTTCTCCTTCAGCAGAGAGAAAGAATGGAGTTCAAATGACTTATCATTCGCCTGGATGTACATGTACTTCACTTAAGAAGATCATAATTTATAAGCTTTCATGCAACTTCCTCTCTTTCCCCATTTTGTTCCTGGCTGTAGTGAGCAGCTAGCTGTTGTTGCAACTGTTCAAAGCAATAACCGAACCTTTAAAGCTTCAACTTATGTGGTTTCTGGGTTGGTCATCACATATATGTAATGCATGTAACGTAAAGTAGGAGCTAAAAATGGCTGAAGAAAAATCAAGGGTTATGAAATATAAAAGCTTTCACAGAAACTTACCTGCGTGTATTTTAACTTCTCAGAAGTCAGTTCATCAGTCAAATTGATCATCCTATTAACACAAGACCAGAGAAGGCGCAGGTAAGCTTTTTGAAGTCAAAGAGAAAGGGTAACTCGCAAAGTATTTTACAAACTGATATAACTAACCGAGATTGAAGTTCTGAAATTTTTAGCAGCAGAAGCTGTTCCCTCTCTGAAGCTGCTGTATCAACCTATAAAAGAAGCAAATGTCAGAAGAAAACATCAATCTCATGAAAAATCATTATATGTTCTAGTACGGGTTCATGTCACCAAATCAGAGATGACTAATTCTTAGCAGAAAATTGAAATATGCTGCGGCAGTTAAAAATAATTAAGTATACAATTGAAGGGGATAAATCAAGTGAAAAATTACTTACACTTCCATTGTTCTCTGAACTGCGAGGTAATGGTGGCAACTTTCCATTCTGAGAAGCTGAAAAAATTGATTGTACTCATTATGTCATCCAATAAACTTACATAAAAAAGAATATCCTCAAACATAATGCAAAATCCTTCACTCACCATCAATTGCCTCAGCAGTTTGCAAGCTATTCAACAGATTCATTATAAGATCCTGGAATGAAACAGAACTTTCCAATAAGATTATAAATTGGTAAAGTTACACTTAAGATGTTCAGTCTTCCAACGGGCACACACCAGCAAATCATATGTCATTTCTCAAACTTCAGTTTCCCTCACCTGTTGAATAGATGTCTGCTGGAAAAGATTGTGAAGGTGAGGCACAAGAAGTGATGCTGGTATATTGATATTGGCAGAATCATTGGAGGACTGACCAATTGGCTGAAGAGAAATACATAGAATAAAGACAGACAAGCATTATATATCAAATACAATAATAAATGAAACATCATAGATACTCTATAACCAACCAAAGAAGCCAAATATTCTCAAAATGATGATAAACAAGAAAACTAGTTTTAGAGCAATTGGCAATGTACAAACCATTTGTTTGAAATCCAACATCCAATCGCCAACACTGGCAGATTTCCTCAGTGCCGATTCCTATATGTAATATAACAGGAAGAGAATATTATACAAGGGATAATAAAGAACATAAACATATATGATAATCAAATAGATCATCAACCAACCTGTGAAGATCGGCGTGAAACTGAACTTACAGGAATATCCTATGCAACAACGTAAAGTCAGTTAAAGTTGTAGATAGGGACAAGTCAATAATAAGAAAAAAGCATACCTTCACCAGATCTAAATTTTCTGACGTCACTGAGAATCGTCCTTTAATTTGAACTAGATTAGCTTTAGACTTATCATCCAAGGAATCTCTGAATCCTAACAAGATTTGGGTGCACAAAATCAAAACCAAGTGTTTAAGATGGCTGATTCAAAGCATACCAGAACTTGCACACTAGACCTAACAGGGCACATGAAAATTTAAATACCTCCAGAAGATTTTATTGGAGCTGATAAACTATTTGCCGAAGCTCGGTTTGGAAGCATCAATGGACCACTAAAGCTTGGAGCTCGTCGTACATTACTTTTCTCATTTGATAACTGATTTTCATTCTCAAACCTAAAAGCAATGAAGCATTACAAATTTTTACAAGCAAACGATTGTGCCAGTGATAGCAAGAAAACCTCAATCACCGAGAAGCATAAAATAAGAAACTGGAAAGCAACAAACACAACATTGGATTCATTTATTTATACTTCAAATTACACTTATTACATAGTATATTTATAGATAAGTAGATAATTCAAGAAAGATAAAAGGAAAAAAGCGGATAAAATAAGAAACTGGAAAGCGACACACACACAACATTGGATTCATTTATTTATACTTCAAATTACACTTATTATATAGTATATTTATAGATAACTCAAGAAAGATAAAAGGAAAAAAACGGATTCCCCTGATAATACATCCTTTAGAAAGGTAGACTTTGAACTTACTAAAACTTGACAAAAAATAAAATAAACTTAATTGATTGCCTTGCCTATAGGTCACTAGATGTATTTTCTAAATCAATAGCAATAGCAACCACCATTGACCATTAAAATGATTAATTCAATAAATCATATTTTTTTAGTTCCACACTATCCACTGTGGTAATGGGATCCACTCATGTGACATGAGGTCAAGTGAGAGAATCTTAGTCGTCCAAATTTAAATCAATGGTAATGGGAAAATGCATTAAGATAAAGAGTCAAAAAAATATAATTGTTTCCACTAGCTGCAATTCCAAATGGAGAATGTATTCTAGCCAAGCATTTTTTTTTTTGCACCTAATTCACTATTTATTGAGGGTGTAAAGAGTTGACCTAAGCCATGCACTTGAAGCTCAAGCTTAGCTTGAGGAAAAAGGAAAAATGATATTCAAGCTTCACTCAAGGAACAACTTTACACCGTTCCAAGCTCGCCCTCTCCTTTTTGGGTACGGGGTAGAAATAAATAAAATTATATTCTCAAGATAGATCATAATTCACTAAGTAATAGCAATATATAAATTATTATAATCCAAGCATTTTCCTATGTAAAATTATAATTTTTTGTCATTAATAAACCAACACGGACAAAAGTTATTCTGTAACTTAGAATGTCAAGCCTATAAAATTTATATAATCAAGCCTAAATTCAGAACGTTAAAGAAAAGTGGATGAACTATTTTAACAAGTTTTTTAATGGGGAAGCGACAAAAGTGAGATAGATTTAGAGGATGCTAATGATGATTTAAGCAGAAGGTTTGTGTATACAATTTGAGCACATGAAGTTAAGGAGGCACTAGAAAAGAAGATTTGTATATTATTGAATTGTATAATATTTGTACAAGAGTTCTCTATTTAAAGAGACTAAAAAACTTAATGGGCTTACACTTATAGAGTATTCTAACTATTACAAAATAATAATAAAATAATTATATTATTTACAATACTCCCCTTCAAGCTGAGGAATGGATATTTATCATCCCCAGCTTGGTAGTAAGTTCTTGAAATCTATCATTAGGAAGACCCTTGGTTAAGACATCAACCAATTGACGACCAGAAGGAATATATGGAGTAATGATCAGTCCACTATTTAATTTCTCTTTAACGAAGTGGCAATCAATCTCAATATGTTTGGTTCGATCGTTTTGAACTGGATTGTGGGCTATACAAATAGCTGACTTGTTATCACAAAGTAACTTCATAGATCCTTCATATCTCACCTTGAGATCATCTAGAATGATTTTCAGCCATAATAACTCACAGATACCTCGAGCCATAGCTCGAAATTCTGCTTCTGCACTTGATCTAGCAACCACATTTTTCTTTTTACTTCTCCATGTTATAAGATTTCCATAGAGAAACATACAACAGCCCGAAGTAGACCGTCGGTCAGTCACGGATCCAGCATAATCGGCGTCTGTATAAACTTCTAAGGATAAGTTTCCTCCTCTCGGGAACAATAGTCCTCTACTTGGTGTGCCTTTCAGATATTGGAGAATCTTGTCCACAGCTCGCAAGTGTTTCTCCCTCGGATCATGCATAAATTGACTAACAACACTAACTGCATAAGCTAGATAAGGTCTAGTATGAGCTAGATATATCAATTTGCCCACTATTCGTTGATATTGTCCTTTGTCAACTGGAGAGCTCTCATTTTCACTTCTTAGTCTGTGATTCTGCTCAATCGGAGTAATGGAAGGTTTACACCCAAGTTTTTCTGCTTCTTTAAGGAGGTCAAGAACATACTTCCTTTGCAAATAAATATCTCTTGCTTTGAATGAACAACTTCTATCCCAAGAAAATATCTCAGTTTTCCAAGATCTTTAACTTCAAATTCAGCAGTCATTCTTTTTTTCAGAGCACATTTCTCACCTATATCATCCTCTGTTATAATAATGTCATCAACATAAACTAGAAGGATAGTGGTCTTACCTTCCTGAGAATGTTTAAAGAAAAGTGTATGATCCCCTTGGCTTTGCTTGTATCTCAATGAAAGCATGACTTTGGTAAATCTTCCAAACCAAGCACGTGGGGATTGCTTCAAACCATACAACGCCTTCTTTAACCTGCAATCTTTATTATCTCCATTTGTAGAGTTAAATCCTTGTGGAATCTCCATGTAAACCTCCTCTTCTAATTCACCACTGAGGAAGGCATTTTTCACATCAAATTGGTTCAAATCAGCTAAAATGAGCAGCGAGGGACAATAGAACTCTTACAGTGTTCATTTTGGCCACTGGAGCAAATGTTTCTTTGTAATCAATGCCATAGGTTTGTGTGTATCCCTTGGCTACCAATCGAGCTTTACACCTCTCAAGAGTCCCATCAGAATTATACTTCGGAGTATACACCCATCTGCACCCTACTGTCCTTTTTCCATTTGGCCTGCCAACAACTTCCCATGTATTATTCTTCTCCAATGCATTCATCTCCTCATGCATGGCTTGAACTCAATTATCATCCTTTAATGCTTCATGTACTGATTTTGGGATTGAAATGGAGTCAAGTGTTGTAATAAAACTTCTATGCTGCATAGAAAGATTCTTAGAGGAGACAAAATGAGAAATAGGGTGTTGGGTACAAGACCTTTTCCCTTTTCTTACAGCAATGGGTAAGTCATCAGAACTAATATCAGGCTCAGGAATAAAAGAAGTAGTGTGTTTAGTAGTTACCAGCGGTTCAGGCGATTGTAGTTGCTGGTGGGGCAGTGTGGGTTGTTTCTTCCTTTGGTACAATAGTTCGGGTGTCCCAACTTTGCGTACTTTCTGTCTATCAATAGGAGGCATGTCACATGAGAAATCAGATGAATTTTTAACATCAGCAATTAAGTCTTCCTTCTCATTGTCCTGTAGTGTAACTACTGGAGTAGAAGATGTAGGTAACAGAAAGGGAGACTCAGACTCAAAGAAAATGGATGAAGCTTCTACACTATTCTCCCCCTGAAGCTGAGGGTGTAGAAAGTAAGACTCAGATTCATGGAAGCTAACATCCATAGAGATAAAGAATTTACGACTTGGAGGGTGGTAACATTTGTATCCTTTCTTGTTGGGAGCATAACCAAGGAAGACACACTTAAGGGCTTTAGGCTCTAATTTACTCCGATGTTGTTTATGGATATGGACAAAGGCAACACATCCAAAGATATGAGACTGGAGACTTTGCATAATTGGAACAGAAGGACAAAAAGATGTCATGAGATCAACAAGACTTACATGGCCAAGGACTCTGGAAGGCAAGCTGTTGATCAAATAGGCTACAGTTAATAAGGCTTCTCCCCAGTAAGAGTTGGGTACAAATGTCTAAAACAATAATGCTCTGGTGACTTCAAGCAAATGTCCATTTTTTTTTTCAGCAACCCCATTCTGTTGAGGGGTATCCACACATGTGAGCTCATGAATCATACCCTTATCTGAAACGAATTGTGACAGACGCTGGTTGACATACTTTGTACCATTGTCAGATCTTAATCTCTTAATACTTTTACCAAACTGTGTCTCAATCATTTGAAAAAATCGAATCAACAATTCTGGTACTTCTGACTTGTCTTTCTGACTTGTCTTTCATCAAGAATATCCATGTCACCCGAGTGCAATCATCAATAAAAGATACAAACCACCTAGCACCTGAAATATTATGTACTTTAGAAGGGCCCCAAACATCTGAATGGATAAGAGTAAAAGGCTCAATGCTCTTTATTGAACTTGAAGGAAAGGGCACGCGGAGGTGTTTCGCAAACTCACAAACATCACAATGGAAGGAGTCAATTGCCTGATCCTTAAACAAAAAAGGAAACATTGACTTCAATAAGCCAAATGACGGGTGCCCCAGGCATTTGTGATGAAGCCAAATCTGTGAAAATGAAGTAGACGGGTGATGACTCGTCAATAATTGATTCCCGGTATCCCTTGTAGCATGTTGTGGAATGAGATAGTACAACCCACCTTGCTCCTTAGCAACTCCAACCGTCCTCCCCGTGGTGATATCCTGAATAACACAATGGGTAGGAAAAAAAGGTGACAGCACAATTCATGTCAGTTGTAAGTTTATAAGTGGAGATAAGATTGGTAGAGAGCTGAGGAACATAAAGAACATTCTTTAAAAATAAGGAAGGTTGAATTTGAATGTTACCAGAACCCACAACTGATTTGTGGGATCCATCAGCTACAGCTATAGTACGGATACCACTAGTAGGGTGATATGAAAGAAAAGAATCAGCTAGACAGGTCATATGATCAGTTGCACCAGAATTCATAATCCATGAATTTTTTAAATCAGTGCAAGATGTAAGAAGAGATGTAGGGTGTGTAATCTTACCAAACATAGTTGATCAGAAAAATAAAATAATTTCTCTTTTCTTTTCTTTTTTCTCTTTTCTTTTTCCGATGAACAGTACCGGTGAACAGTGCGCGATGAACAGTGTCGCGTGAATAGTGCTTTTTTTTTTTAGCTGTTCCGGTCGTCTGATGAAAAAGAAACCTCCGTAGAATGATAGATCTGAGAAAACAGAGAGAAACAGGGGTCCTTACAGTCCAAAAGGTCCCCGGAAAAAAAATTTCCCGGCGACGTCTTTGTGGCGGCTAGAGGCAAAAGGGTTTGGTTTTTAGAGATAGTGATTTGTGGAAGCAGAGCTCTCAGAATCGAGAGCTCTGATACCAACTAGAAAAGAAGATTTGTATATTATTGAATTGTATAATATTTATACAAGAGTTCTCTATTTAAAGAAACTAAAAAATCTAATGGGCTAAGCCCAAATACACTTATAGAGTATTCTAACTATTACAAAATAATAATAAAATAATTTTATTATTTACAATAGAGGCATTAAAGATGAAGACTAATAAAGTTTTGGGATCCAATATTGTCCTTATTGAGGTGCAGAGATGCATGGGGGATGTGACAATAAGTTGATTAACAAATCTTTTTAACAAGCTTCTCCACGATGACAAGATGTGCAATGAATGGAAGAAGTGTATACTTGTGCCTATCTACAAAAACAAAAACAATGGACAAGATTGTTCTATTTTAACTATAGAGGCATTAAGCTTAAGAGCCATACAATTAAGTTGTGGGAGAGAATTATTGAGCATCGTTTGAGAATATAGACCAAGGTCTCCGTAAATCAATTTGGATTTATGTTAAGAAGATCTACTGTGGAGGTTATTTTCTTAATACAGCAGTTCATGGAAACATCTCTAGAATAGAAGATTCTACATATGATGTTTATTGATTTCGAGAAAGCATATGAGATAAGGTTTCAGAAAAAAAAGAAAAAAGAATTGTCGAAGTATGTAAGGGCAATCAAGAATATGTATGATGGTGTTACTACATGTGTGAAGTGTAATGGCACATCAAGTTCTGATTTGAGTCCAGATCTTTTTGCCCTAGTGATGGATGAACTAACAAAATATATCTAGGACAAGGTGTCATGGTATTTACGGATGATGTTGTGGTTATTGATAAAACTAGGGTTGGTGTCAACAATAAATTATAATTGTGGAGAAGCATGTTGGAGTAAAAAGAACTTACATTTAAGTCAAATTAAGATGCATTAAATGTGAGTTTGCTATGACAAGCAGAGATCATGATTCCATGCATATGCTAGGAGAGAAGGTATCCAATAAAGATATTGTTAAGAACCACTTCAACCCAAAACTTTAAGGTGTTAGGTGAGGGCCTTTTCAATGATTTATATTACTCTCTACACACCCCCTCTCACAAGAGCCCTTTGGGCTTGAAGTGTGGATATTGCACAGGCCCAATTTATTTTGATTTACCTTGTACTTATTTTAATTTCACTCGAAAGTGGAGGGCAGTGAGGATCGAACTCGTGACTTTGTGTTCACTGAAACTCTGATACCATGTTAAGAACCACTTCAACCCAAAACCTTAAGGTGTTAGGTGAGGGCCTTTTCAATGATTTATATTATTCTCTACAAAGATGCTTTTAGATATTTGAGATCAATATTGCAAAGGAGTGAGAGATTGATGAGGATGTAAACCATAGAATCAAATCATGTTGGATGAAATGGCGCAGTTGCATCAGGATTTTAGTATTATCGCGAAGTCCCTCTATGGCAAAAAGGAAATTTTTATAGAATACCAATAATGCCTGCAATGTTATACAAAGTTGAATGTTGGTCGACACATAAGCAATATGAGCATAACATTGGAGTAGCAGAAAATGAGAATGTTGAGGTGAATGTGTGATCATACAAGGACGGATTGGATTAGATAAAAAATAAAGATATTCAAGAAAAGGTAGAAGAAAACCAAGGACTGAAAGATGATAGTACATAGATTGAGATGGTTTAGACATATTCTTCGAAGTCCCCTAGATACTCTCGTAAGAATAGAAGTTTATTACCAAGAGCATGACCCAAGGAGAGGAAGAGGTCAGTCGAAACTTAGAGAAAATAGTCAAACAAGGTTTAATAGAATGTGAAATAGATTTGTGTACGGTTTGTCTTAAAACGGAGTGAAGAAAAACTATTAGTATTGTGGAGGGATAGATCGTTATTTCCTATGCTCCATTTTTACCCTATATTTATTTGTTAGGGGTGTTTGGTACAAGGTAAAATTTAGATTCTTAGGAAAGTTACTTTGGCAATCTTGCTTTCCAACGTTTGGTAAGGGAAAAGGAAAATTTTTACTGGGAATCTTGCTTTCCAAGGAATTGGCTTTTGTGAACAAAAGTTGACCCAAAATCCCAATGAATAATTCCACCCAATACGTGGTATTCCACAAAATCCCACATGCTGGGAAAATTGAAGCAAAATATTTAGAAAAACATACCCGACAATTAGCCCTAGCTTTGCTTTGTGTATAGATTTTTGAATAGACTGAAGCTCTCTATCTCGAACATTACCACACGCAAACAAGAACACCACCCCACCTTTTCGTATTCTTTCTTTTACGATAAAAACAAAGTGCAGAGAGAGAGAGAACATAGAAAGTGTTGGTCTTTGTTTGTCCTACCTCTCTCTCTGCAGTTGTTTTTGAAATTTTCTTGCAATTGTTTTGTTCGAAGGAGAAGAAGATCAACAGCTACAACATCGACCTTTTTGTATCCCATTGTTTTGCAATTTTATAATCGAGGGTAATTTTGTAAATTCGGTCCATATTCCCAGCAATATTTTACAATCAACCAAATATAGCATCAGAAAAATTAACCCAATATTCCCGGAAATATTTTGATCTACCAAATAGCTTTTTGGTAATATTCCCAGAAAACGCACTTTTCCACCATATTCCCGTAAATCACGATTCCCAGATTAAAAAAAAATTCTCCTCTACCAAACGCAACCTTAGTTCTTTTCTCTTATTAATGTCTTTTTTCCCTCAATTTTTTCTTGCTTTTTATTTGGGTTCCTCGACCCCTAACCCCAACTAGTTCGGGATAAAGATGATCTTAATAATGAAAGCTAAATTCAAGCTTAAGCTTTTTTGTTTAGTTAAATAAACGAGTTTGATTGAGCATTTAACAAGTCAAACTCAAATAGTTAAACTCATTCACACCCCTGCCCATTATCTTCATTCCTTACACACGAAGGTGAATCACCTTAACAAAATTCCCCATATAAATTAGAATATTTCAACATCAATTAGTTCTACTATCTTTCTTAAAACTACTCCCCAATTAAACACGACTAGCGAGTGTGGGATGAGGGCAATTCTTGTATGCAACCTTATCCTTACAAATAATTGCAAAGAGGCTGTTTCCCGAATTCGAACATGTGACCTTTTAGTCATAAAGGAACAGTTTTACCACTGCTCTGGTTCTACTATCTTTCTTCCAAAAGAAAAATTTAGATGTGAAATGCTTTACAAAATAAAAACCAATATACCCAACTCATCCTCCTCTGATAATACTTTGAGCAAGTCTTGTTCGCAAATGCTCTATCTCTTGAGATATCTCATGTGGCAAACTCCTTTATATATATATATATATATATATATATATATATATATATATATATAGTAACTTTAAATGTTACTTTTGTCCTTAAGGCTGAGAAATCAGTTTCCTTGATTTCCCGGGCCAATTTAGCAACAATAATATGGTTCGAGGTCTCAAAAGCCAAGACAAATCAAAAGCATCTCAAAAGCACGAATTAATTAAACAGCATGTCATGAGTCCTATATATGCAACAAAGCAGTATATGCTCAATACTAACAACCACATCAAAACCTGTCATTTTTCACCTTTCCTCAACTAAGAGTCTGATTGTAGAACGGAATAGCTCCCCCTTTTATAAAAATGGAAGGGGGTAATAAGGGAGAATAGATTTAATTTAATTTTAAAAACTAGTCTCATTTACTCTTTTATGCCATCAATTGAGTTAAAAATAAAAAATTCTAGAGGTGTTATACTGAAATTTTACACTTATAATTATAATTCTTTTCCTTACTCTTTCTTTCCTCATCAATCATCCAAACATGAGGAAGACAATTACTTTCCATTCCATCACTTTACTTTCCATTTTATCTCATCCCTTACCATCCCATTCCATTCTCTAAGTACAGCCTAATATAAGAACAAAAACAAAGATATAATATAAAAATTAAAATTAAAAAACAATGCACCTTTCAAACGCACGCCCTCTGTCTGGTATAGAATGACCAAGCACTGCACCTGGCACCAGTGGCCCACTTTGGGTTTTACAAGTTTTCAATGATTGAGTTTTAACCCTGCTTATTCCCATATCCTTCTCTGAGATAGATGGCGTTGCCTCAGCAATTAATCCATTTCTCTTCTCATTCTGTGGTATGTCATTACCACCTACTTGTAACGTGAACTCATCTTGTTGTAGGTTATCTGAATACTTTTTGCCCACACTAAACTGAGAATCAGTAGTATCCTGTCATGGCAAACAACAAAGAGTTTAATAGATTACTTTTAAGGAAAAGAGAGTTTAGAACACTTGAACCAACCTTGTAAGAGCTGAAGAATTTGTTTTCATCTTCTTCCCTCATCTCTGCAATATCATCATCATCCTGCACCTAGTGAAATTGGAAGACATCAGGTCAGATCAAACAAAGAGAAAAACTAGTCAAGTAAATAAAAAATCTGATAATACAATAATCCACACCAATGAAGCTTGAGCTTTCAAATCATTAATATCAAAGTTCCACGCACTAACTCCTCGTTGATATTCACTCTGAAAAGGAAAATATGTAAGTGGATTAGAATTCAATGGTTATAAAGCGAATCAAGCGATGATGCCTTTTATTTTCTGTAAGGAACATATATGCTTTAATAGATGTTAACTGAAGCTTTAAAATGTCAATCTTCGAAAAGAAAACATTATCTATTTATCTCACTTGACAACACTTTTTTCGGGATTGGGACCAATTGGATAAAATACCTCCTGTTTGAAAGAGACTATTTGGAAGGTGGGTTATAGTTAAGGAAAGCACTTTATTTATTCAAATGCTAATATTTGCTGAGGTGTTTGGCCAAAATAAAGTATGGCTTTTAAGTGAGAGCAGAAGCAGAAAAACTTCTGTGAAGGAGAAGCAAGAAACTGGAGATTTACCAAGGAAACAAAGCTGAAGCAGGAAAAAATTTCCTTTTAAATGTTCTTCAAGAAAGCAATTCTCAGAAGTGCAAAATTTCACAACAGCAAGGCCAAATGAGCATGAAATCTTGGTTATTATGAACAATTCTAGAAATCGTCAGCTTTGTCTTTTTACATCAAATTGACTATAAAATGAATTGAAGATAGATCAGCCAGAGGTATTCCATTTTAAGTACGTAATGCCCTGAATCAATCAACCAGACTCAGATAAGCTCTACAATCAAGGTTTCATTTAGAAAAGGAAACCAGTATCAAGAGAAAGAAACAAAAAATGGCAAACTTGACTCACATCAGCCATACATGAAAATGCTCCTAGGAACCATTGGCTATAATATATCACATATTCACAACATATTATGTGACAAATAAAATTTTGAATATGAGCTTTACCTGAGATATTGCTTCTTGTTCTGCAGAAGGCATTTTCTTTAGTGCTAGTTGAGCTGCATCTTTAATCTGCATTTTTTTTTGTGAAAGTCAAGAAAAAGTAACAGCACAAGAGAAATTATAGAACAGGCACCAAAGCATGAATGAAAACAAACCTGGAGGTTTTTTACACGATGCCAAAGAGGTGGTAAATCAGCAAATAATTTCTTCACAGAAAGCTCAGGAGGCTTAGCTTGTTTGAAGAAAGAATGTTTCAGCAACTTCTCCACGGATGGCCTCTTTGTTTGATCTTTTACCAGGCACATAGCAACCATTTCCTTAAAAGACTGATCACAACTGAAAATACTTTAATTAGACAACGACCACTACTATAATTATAATAAGAAACACATTACAATTTTAATAAGCAACTATATCCAAGTCCCTCCTCACTCTAATAAACCATGACTAGCAAACCAAACAAAACCACAATAACAACGACGAATCTTGGGTAACAATGTAGCGTCCAGGCAGAAAGAACACCCATACCTTGGAGAACTTTCTATCACGATCATAATCAAGCCCTGGAGGAGCATTCTGTATGGTCATTAGAAGAACCTATATATAAACCAAACAGTAAGTCATTGTCTGACTCGTATGTTATGAATTATATATAAATCACAAGAACTTGAATTAATGGCTAGACACATTTTAGTTTGATGCAAATAGATATACCTTCATCGGAGGGTATTTTGAGAAAGGTGCATGACCATGAGCCAACTCCAGTGCCGTAATTCCAAAAGACCAAATATCAGCCCTATCCAATCCAACATTCATGCAAATAAGAAAAATAGAATTCGAATTAAAGATAAGCATATGTATTATGAATGACTCACTTGAAATTATAACCAGTTCCAGGTTGCAGTACCTCAGGTGCCATCCTATAAAATAAAAAACAATAATAATAATAATAATAATAATAAATAATAATAACGAATTCGGTCAAATATGAAGAATAAGAGAAAGATGAGAAGATTGAATTGAGTAACAACCAGCAAGGAGTTCCGACGAAAGTGTTTCTAGAACGTTGTCGATCACCGGCATCAAACATGCAAGCGGAAACACCGAAGTCAGCGAGTTTGACTTCGCCGTTAGAATCGAGTAAAATATTCCCAGCCTTAACATCGCGATGAATGTGACCCTGTCGATGAAGGTACTCCAAGGCCTTGAGAGTTTCCTTAAGGATAGATCCGATTGCGTCTTCTTCGAAACCATCAGGATACGAAGATTTCATGAGGTGCAAACAAGAACCCTGAGCCATGAAAGCCATCACAACCCAAAGGTTTCGTTCAACAACGAAGGAACAATAAGACCTCACAACGTTAGGATGGTCAATTAAGCTCATGGTTTGAGCCTCTCTCCTTATGTCATCGAGATTGCTGTTGCAGCGATCCAGATCCAGACACTTAACCGCCACCTCTTCGTTCCGAGGAAGGTAGATTGCGCGGTACACGGTGGCGCTTGCACCGTAACCGACCTCTTCTAGAAGGTTGTAATCGCTGGGATTAGCAGAGTAGGTTCTGCTGCTGCTTCTCGAACTCGAACTCATTTCGAGTTGTTTGTTTGTTTGTTTGGATCTCTCGTGTGTTTGTTTGTTTGTTTGTTTATCGTGAACTGAATGAAACTCACTACTACCTGCGTTGAGCAGTGTTGACCAACATGTCCATCAGAATCACAAAATCAGATTTCAGTTTTAGACGACAAACCCGAAGACTTGTCTTTCCTTAATGGTTTATGTTAGGATCGATCGTGTGTTATGTAAATATGTAATGTAATGTAATGTATCCCCTCCCCTCCCAACTGCTGACATTTTTCCTTGTTCCTCGTCTTCTCTCTCTCTCTCTCTCTACTTCGGACTCCTTCACTCACTGGGACCCTTCTCTCTTTTTACCTTTTTACTGCCCCTACATTTTTTCGCTATAACTCTCTGACTTCAATTTCGTGTAGTTTTTTTTTATTATTAATTAATATTTTACATGACAAAAGTATACACGTATATACTTTTGTCATGTATATCGTCTGTCCTTTTTTTAATTTGTGTTTGAGAAAGAAAATAATTATTTTAAAATAAATTTTTATAAATATTTATGAGTTTAATGTTTTTTATGTTATAAGAGATAAATTTATCTCCTAATCAAACATAGAAGTATCTAAGATCCATATGAGAAGAAGAAACATAAAGAAAAAATATAAACTTCATATATTTATTTTTTGTAACATGATAAATAATAAATTTAAAATATATATATATATATGGGGCTCATTTCTCAAGTTAGTTGAGATAACTTTATTTTCGGCCATTAAATGTTAACCGTATAAAGATAAATCAATAGTGATAAAAGAATAGAGAAAAAAAAAAGAAATAATAACCATTAAAAGATAAATCAATTAACATAAGCAAACAAATAAATAAATAACGTAATTTTTGAGTCACCAGAAATAAAGATATCTCGAGGAATTTGAGAAATATTTTTTTAACACACACACATATATATATTATTAAGATCTTGTTGCAATATTTTAATTTAAAATAAGATTTAAAAATGTAAAATTATAAAAAAAAATGCTTAGCTTAATTAAAAAGTAAAAAAATTTAAAATTTTAAATAATTATATACATAATTAATTTAAAATTTAAAAAAAAAAACGATTTCATTCATGTATAATTATATGGTTATGAGTTGACTTTTTTGTCTTTTAAAAGAAGTCAATATTTTTAACCAAAAAGAAAAGAAAAAGAAGTCAATATTCACATATAATAAGTCTAAAATCACTTTTACTTTTTTTTATTAATTTTGATTCAATTCGTATCTAACATTCTTATTCTAATAAATTATAATTCTTAATAAATAAATATATATATATATATATATAGAGGGAGGATATTTTGACTACCAAAAGTTTCCACTACTACCTTACTACCTATCTAATCACCATTGGATTAACATTTTCTCTCTCTTCAAAAACTTTTTAACATTCTCTCTCTTTGATCCAATGGTGATTTGATAGGTAGTAAGGTGGTAGTAGACACTTTTGGTAGTCAAAATATCCCCCCTCATATATATATATATATATATATATATATATATATATATATATATATATAGGGTTTGGATTATAAAATTATATATCAAAGAATTCGGTTTTACAAGGCCTTGACCTTGTAAGCAACCACTCACTTGATAATAAGTATGTGTTTTTCTTTCATGCAATTAACTTCAAGTGCAAAAAGAAAAAGAAAAAAATTGCAATCTGTAGCTTATCGTTTTTCTTTTCATTTTTTTTTACATACTTATAATATATCGTTTTTTCCGGCCTATGCAATATAGCCTAAAGAAGCTGTCTTTTGATTTGTTGTACATAGGTTTGAATCCCACCCAGAAAAAGAAAAAGGGGAAAAAAAAATTAGAGAAAATGAAATGATAGGAAAAGGAAGAGGTAAACTAGCTTCTGCCTGCACTGAACGAGTAAATTTATATATTTTAGTTTTAGGATCTTTACATTAAAGTGTTTTGACAGCAACGTTTTAATTTTATGGGGAAAAAAATAAAAGACGATACAGTTTCAAAATCACGGGGCATTAACTGCTATGCGTAATTGACAAAATTGATTTTTCTCTTACTTGTTTTTTTCTCAGAGTTGAGGGAGAAAAGGATGTGGCACAGGTAACTTCAAAATTAAACTCGTCCCATTTTTTAACAAGATATACAATAGCACTACTAAGGCCTCATCCATTATTTTTGTTTGCAGTTATAACTTATAATAATTCAAAGAAATTAAAAATTTAGCAATAGTGAATTTGATTCAAGAAATAAGATTAGAAGCAAAGAAAATGTTGGTGGGTAGGCTTTTAGCCCACAACAAAACCCATATGAAAGGCCCATCTTAGTGCATCAAAATTCTGTCCTTGTGGATCTGAAGCAGTGGTACCACCAACCACTGTACTTGTTGAGGGTATCTATCGGTATCATTAACAATATTTAATGATCCTATCCTATGTTTGTTGTTCCTCGGTCATATAAGACTTGGCATTTTCATGCATGGTGCATTGCATGAATCCAAACGGTGGAGTTCAGAAATACATATAAATTGAGTTCATATCAACAAGTTGACGTCAGATTTTTCAAAAGGAATGCAAAATGATGCAACTTGCAAGGCGGAATAATTTATTCCTCTTATTTATAAAAATTAGTGCATGTTTAATTTCTATCATTTTTTAAAAAAATTAATTGTTATTAAGATAAATTTACTAAAAGTAACTTATAAGCATAAGGAAAAGAAACGGATTGAAAGGAATTGGTATTTAAGATATTTATTTGTTTGTTTATTTAGAGAGTAGAGATATTCACGTATTGAATTGAATGCACTTTGAAAACAAAAAAAGTCAAATGATTTGATTTTATAAGTTTTTTTTTTAAATATTATCTTGTCGGTTTCGTTTTAAATATGATCCGATATAAATTAGTTTATATTGAATCAGATTTTTTTTAAAAAAATTGTTAGAATTTTTCAATAATAAACTCATTTATAAAAGTTTAAATTTATCAAAATATATCAAATATAATTCTAAAGTTCTTTTAATTTTGTAACATTTGATATGTCTATCAAAAAAAAAAAAAACATTTGATATTTATTTGTAAAACCTTAAGTTAAAGTCTTTTTTCCCCATAAAAAGTCAGTATTGTCTATTATTGTTGTGAAAATGAATTTGAGCATGTTAGGCGGAGGAAAAGTCACGAGGAGAGGAGACGAAACAATATGTGCTGGACCTGCTGTCACGGACTGAGTTGGGTATAACGAGTAGACAAACAAAACAACGATCATTTTGCAAATTCAATATATTTGTAATGGCAAGGTTACATTTATAAATTTTTTTGTTTACAAATTTTTACAAATTACATTATGTTCTCCCGGGAGAACACTAGTTACACTATGTTCTCCCGAAAGAACATAGTGTAATTTGTAAAAAAAATTCAAAAAAATTTGTAAACGGATCATTCCCCTATTTATAATATGTTAAGACACCGTTTATGTACTTTTGCATTCTATAATGCATTACGCGTCTAAAAGATTATAGGTAAAGAAGTTATAAAGCAAGGCCACATTAACCGGTAAATAATTATTTTAGCTTAAATAATAGTTATAAATATATAGTTGTTCTATTAAGCTTCATCAAACTAATCGGACACTTCATCAAACTAATCAGACAATTGATAAATTGACAGAGAAATCCAAAAAATAAGAAAATAAAAATTCTAGGTTGGGAATATTAACCCTTGATAAAAAAAAAATTAGCATAATCTAAGGTGACAAAATTTTAGAGCACTTGGAGCATTGTACACGTTCCCTGAGGAGGGATTTTTTTCATGCTACACAAAACTACAACACTTCTTCTATTGAGCTACACTAGGTAGGTAACAGGTGAAGAAAACGAAAATTAAACTAGTATATCAAATATATCACAACAGAAATTATAATGTGGACGTAACATGCCACGTTAGCTACAAGCATTCAAATCAGGTTATTCCCAACTTGTATCAACTGGTGTGGTTTGATTTTGAGGTTTAAGCATCAAGAACATAATAAAATTGAGATGCAGTTTGGACAGTTGGTTAGGCCGAATAAAATGGGCTAAGCCCACCAAGGCACCAATATAATTCCAAAGCAGATATTTTATTGCTTCCACACTACATACAAATATAATTGATGCTGTGAAATGTCTTACAACCAGCACCAAAACAATGTCCAATGTGAAGTGCCAACATGGCAACGCTGCAGGTTCATGCCCCTCTTGCTTGATTATTATTATCTTATGCTATGGTGAATTTGGTCACTACCCAAGAACCATAATGGATGATGCTTATCCCTTTTCTATTCCTCAACAGCCGATGTTGCTTATCAATAATGGCAAGGAGCCATGGTGATGCACTGAGTTCATTGATTTGAATTTGGCTCAAATTTGAATAGTCAATTCAAAATGAGTTTTTTTTTTTTTTTTGATAACATTCAAAATGAGTTTTTGAACAAGACTCGTCGCGTTGTCATGTGCATCAATAATTTTAGGCCTTTTATAGTTTATTTTATAATTTAGAACTTTTCAACAATTGTTAATTATTTTTCTTTTTGTTATTCTTAGATTATGTTAGAGTGTACGTTAATTATGTGTTATCTCCTTTGATTGCACGTGATTATAGTTATTTACTTTTTTTGTTATTTTATTTTGTCTATTTAAGGCTTAGATAACACTATTGTTATTTAGTTTTTTTTATTTAATAAAATTCAGAAAAGAAAAATAGTGTTTTCTCGCAATCTTATTCTTAGTCTTTCTTTTTGTTTAGCCAATGTGTTACTGCTTCGGTATTATTTAGTAATCAGAGCTCTGGTTGTCACATAAATGGCTGAACAGAACAATGGCGATTGAGGTCGAGATCGTGGATGACGGGGTCGAGGCGACGGAGGCGATAGAGGGAGTGTAGTGGCGAACCCAGGAAATTATATGACGGGGGGCGAAAATATATATTACTATTATGAAAAGGCAATGTCAGTTTTGGTTGGATGATCATGCTAAGAATACAAAAACACTGATTAAGAATAACATAAGAATACAGAATTTTTTGCCTATTTTTGTTTGGAATGTCAATTTTTTGCTTCCAATGCATCCTCTATTTCAATGAGGAACTAGCCTTAAGACCCTATATTTTGTTTGTAAGATCAAATT